CGCTGTGCAAACACAAATCAAGTCAGATGCTTCAAGCTGTCAAACAGTCGCTAACCTGGATGCCAGAGAGTTTGGATGGGCGGTTTTCGGTTTCGGTCAATTCTTTATAGTGAGCGGTGTGCCCACATTTGTCTAGCGCCCTCACAAAATTAAAATGTTTGGCGGCCAAACATTCATGTTTAAACTCACTTTGAACTTATTTTCTCGTTACGTGTTCACGATTGGATCCAAACGACGGTATCACAGCTCGCGGTTGTGGGTGGATGTCGCCGGAAGAGACAGTTGTCGATTTTTACAATAGGATGTTGGTTGTTTATATACTGATGTAGCGAAGACCTCAATAAGCAGTTCTCGCTGAGTGGGAACCGCTTTCTCCGGCGAACCCCCACACGACAGGACCGTTTTGCTCTTCGTTAGCTACTCTGGCCAGATTATTCTACGTATAAATCTTTTGACTCGTCGACGAAAGTAATACCAAGTTTGCGCGTCATATGGCTTTCTGTGCGTGATCAGCAGTGAAATGAATTACCCGCCAAGATTAAAATTACACGACGCCACTCTAACTGACCAATAAGGCAGTGTCCTTAAAATAACCACACAGTATGACACAGAACCAAGAATAGATTGAAAATAATTTTCATGGGAAGAGGGTCATGTATGGGGGATTCGCTCTCTTAGATCATTCTCTCTTGATGACAATCGGCTACACAAAACAGATTGTGTGGGCGCCCTGTGAAAGAACTAGCACGATTAACATATTTAGTGATTAATGCGGCCGAAACACGCTGACTTCTTGTCAATACAACCGGACGTTTTATCAGTTAAATATGTGAACCATCATGACACCTCTCTTTGAATGTGGTTCTGTTGTACAAATGCCGCGGTATAAGAGCCAAAATTCACTTATATCTTTTGCTCGTTTTAAGTTTTGGAAATCCTCCTTCGTTGTTATTTCCTTTGCCCTCATAACCTTGCCCTATTGATGTTTGATAGACTTTCTGAGGACCAGCGCCAGGCGCTAAATGTAGTTCGAGAGGGACATGATATCTTTATAACAGGCCAGGGTGGTACGGCTAGGAAGAACAATTGCCTTCTATCAATTCAAGTATTTTTTCAGCAGGGTAGGGTGGCTTTGGGCAAATGATGTATCGGTCCCCAGAAAGGTCACCTCAGGACACCCGGGATGGAAATTTTTGTAAAGTGCCCAGGCCTCATTTTCTTGGCCGCGCGTTGATCTGGCCCGGCTGCTTCGGCGAGCATATTCTCGGTCTGTTTGGATTATATCATTCGAGTTTGTCAAAGTCTGTGGGATTCGTTTCTCTATCTGGGAAAGTTTCATTGGTTCTATTTCTGCTGCTATCCTATTTCTACGATCCTGGCATGTTTATTTTCCGTTGGAGTTCGAATTTCGTGGAAAAAGTTATGTTGAATGAGAGCATGTCGGCGAAAATGGCATCTCGTGTTTCCTATCTTGTATAATTATTATTATTGTATATAGAGTGAATTTGAACAAATTACGTGCAAATTATCACAAAACTCTGTTGGAGCAATAAGGACAACAACAACTAACTGCAGAGTAAGTTTCATTGATCTTTATTTAGTATTTCATAGAAATTTTAAAATGGTATTTTTACCCCATACAAACACTGTAATTTTACTAGAACCGTACTGTAGTACTATCACAGAACCTGGGTTACCTGTCATAGATCGATTTGTTTCTTTTAACCTTGTCAAAAAAGTCGCGTAAGTATACAGCGCGTGCATATTAGAGATGGTCAGCACCAAGGAGGTGTAATTTTCACTCGAAGAGAGCAATGATAATATCAGTGTCGGGGCTTTTGAGACGTCTCTTAGACTTGGATGGCAGTTCCTAAGAAGGTGCGATTTTTTCAGCTTTTTGTTTACTGAGAAGAAACGGTTTGATTTTATTCCCTATTGTTTACCACACTTTTCAATACATGAATAATATGTGACATAATTCTAATCCATGTTCTAATGAACGACTGTAAAAAATTACTTTCATTGTTATGAACATGACTGTAGATTAAAAGATCTTTAGCGCGAAATTTGAATGTTGCCATCTCAGAAACAGGATAGCCAGTACTAATATACTAGGAGGAAAAATGACAACCAAAGCGTATCCGATCAAACAAACTGAATTGTAAGTTCTCAGCTGCTTCTATTCGAAACCTATTTGTTAGTTTCTAACAGCAATATTAACGAGCAAGATGAGTATGTTTTGCGTAAGAATTGCTGCCACTAGGAGAAGCGAGAAATAAAACACAAGGAGGCAACTGGTCAAGTCGTCTGTTCAGCACTTACCTCACACTACCACTACTGCGTCGTATGTTAAGTTCTGACTACTGTAACTCTTACCCTCTCCCTGGGTTGAAATTGCTCCTTACTTCGGTAGCACCGAAAATTCAGACTTCATCGGAGAGAAGTTATCGGAAATGTTGAGTTTCCCGCGCGTAAAAGCTATCATTTCACGTTGATCGTTTTTGTCCTTCATAGAGCAATACCTATTGTTCTCGAATTCAGGTTGCTTTTATTGATACGAAAGGGTTTGTTTGTCTCACGATTTTCGACTTTCCGGTTGAAAAGTTTACTCTGCGGGTGGTTTATATGATGCTAGACTGATTATCATCGATGGAATAGACCTTGTCACGGTTTTCGACGCCATCTTGACGAGTAGGCAAACCCGTGAGAAATTACGGTGTTTGTATGAGAACCTAACGTCTAATAATTTCCGTAAAACGGCTCTTTTAAGAAATATATGAACTGTAAACTAAAGCTTTACTCTTAAGGCTTCTACTGTAAAACTTTGAGGGCGTTATATGCGCTAGAAGACCTAGAACCTTTTTTTAAAATTTTCTATACATTTGTCTGTAAAAATTTTTCGGGAAAAATTGCAGACAAATATATGGAAAATCTAAAGCAAGCTTCTGGAGAAATTTAAGCACAGTAACGGCCTCCAAAATTTGTTGGTAAAATCCTTTGCTGTGTAGCTTTAGTTTACAGTTCATATTTTTTCCAGAACAGCCGTTTTACGGAAATTATTCGACTATGGATTCTCATACAAACACTGTGATGTCTCACTCGTTTGCCTACTCGTCAAGATGGCGTCGAAAACCGTGACAAGGTCTATGGAATATTATGCGAGTTATTTTACACTGGGACAGCAAAGTACTACTACATTAGACTTACCTGTGGCGTTCAATAAAGCTCTGTAAATCCTCGCGCTGTCTTCATTGATTAAAAATCGATCTTCGTTCGCATGGACGACAAAAATTGCAAAATCCATTGGCAAATCGGGAATAATACTCTCACACATCTCGGTTGTGTCCGACAGGATAAAATGATTCTTAAAAGCAAGCATTTTGATTCCCAGCTTTTCTTTTATGCAGGAAAGTAATTTTGCCACAACTTCCAAGTTACAAGTGTTATTGCTACTGAAAATGTAGCAAAGTTTGAGCGTTCGATTCCGTTGGACGAACCGAATTCGTTGCATTGTATCAGGCATGTCTGGGTTTGTTTTGGAGTCTAAGCTTGGTTCGCTTTCCAAGAAACGTTCATCCTCGTTGCCAGGGTCCTCTCGTATTACAATGTGGCGACGGTATGAGTCTTTACTTCCGCTGGCATATTAGAATACCTAAGGAGACTTTATGACGTGGTTTGAAATTGCTTTTTTCTTATTCAGCGGCGTCACTGACAACACTGCACAAAAATAGTTATATCCACTCGTACTGATTGACTGGTTTTCTGTCTCACACAGAGACAGGTACTCGATGAGCAACAAAGTAGACCACAGGGATCCTTGAATCACAACAGCCCAGTACTGGAAGCCAAATTATAAGGATTTGTATGGGATTTTACCGTAAGACCGAAAGTATACATACCTCATAAAGAGTTGTGTCTGTGTTGTTTTCTTACTGTTTCCTGTCATCTAAAGTTCATAAACACCGTTTCAGCAAGTTTTAATGTTTTGGTTTCTCGACAACTAAGAAGAAAACAAGGGAAAACTGGGAAAACTCGGCTTTACTACGCTGCCCGAAGAAACTGAGCTGCAAAAATTACCTTTCTTCTACTCCAATAGCCCCAAATCATCGCTTGAGCAAACACCGAAGATTTTCCTTCCTTGAAAACGTCAATTTAATTCGAAACATCGACCCATGGCCACAAAAGGACGAGAAATGTAGCGAAAAAATTTGAACTTAGCGCTTCCGTTGAATCGTTCTTCTTCGTGGTGAACTACCGATTGGCTAAGTAGCCACACCACACGTTCAAAATCCCTTCGAAGGAGACTCGTAGTTTTCCCGCCACTTCTTTGTAAAACGAGCGAAGAATTCAACGAATTATTACTTCATAGCTAGATTACAGTAATTTCAAACCAAATATGATTACATTATTAGAGGGTATTCCCAGTCCCCTACTTAGTAAGCGGAGGTTTTTGCCCATTACCTGATTTGGACTATGATTTACTTATTTGATTGACAACAAAAAGACTGATAAGCAGATTCCATCAGAATCCAAAGTGAAGACATCATTACACAACTATGAACAAGATCAAGTGCTGCGAAACTACATTGTTATGAAACAAAACGATTCCGTGTTTGTTTGTAGATCCGATCTATGTTATATGATAGAGGACGTCATAGGGCGGGACTTAAAGCGGTAAATTACTGATGATTAATTGCGACCTTTTTCCTCTCACCAGCATGTTGATGTCAGGTGGGATCTTCGATAAATGGGATCTATTTGTAAGGTAAGAGATGCCTGACACGAGCGATCCTTCTGCGACCGTTTTTATTAACTCGATGGTTCAAAGTGTTTGTGAAATTAGTATAACGATGTAAATAAAGAACTAGGAGCTGTTCTTTATTTTAACTTTGGTGTAAGGGTAAGGGTAAGAAGTATTAAACCGATTACACATATTTTTGTCTACATTTTTAGCTGTTTGGTCAAGTAAATCCTCAACGACCTGATAAAAAGTGAAAGAGCTGTTTATTTTCATTGCATTTTGATCGCAATTTTTCTTATTCCCCTAAATAACACTCAAACTTGAAGAAGGAACTTTTAATTTTCAAGTTTTACCGACTCAACTTCTTTTTCTACTCAGCGCCAGCCTAAGCCAAAGACATGCACTTAGTTCACACTTTTTATGTTAATTAATATAACCACTTCTTTGGACTTTAAAAAATTCAGCACTTAAAAATTATGTTTGGAGTCTGCACTTTAATTTCCCTTGCGCTGAAGCCACATAAACAGTAATGTAAGTAATCCTTTATTCTGTCAAATTTCTTTCAAATAAGTAGACTACGTGAAGCTGTTCACAAGATATTGCTCATTTACTGTCACTCCCATATACGTTCCTCTTATTCTAGTCAGGAGAGAGTGGATCACGGTCAGCAGAAGAGATGTTACTACATCCATCGGGGGGACCCTCTTCACTTGCAATCGACTCAGGGAGCTCGATACCAGGCACGCTCCCACTCATCAGGTTTGACCCGACCTGCGTGATGGCACCCAAGACGTTAATTACGTCTGCCCAGACCTCTGTAACACTCGTGACGCCGGCCCCAATGGCGTTTGTTCCGTCAGCGACTTTTTCCCCGACACAGCTCGGCAGCCCGACGCGCCCTAAAGCACCTTTAAAGCTTTCACCCAGTCCACTCACTCGGCTTTTCAAATCCTCAGTCACCACTGTGCTCTCATTTCCAGTTTTGTTCTCGCGGTATACTGACAATTCAACGTTGCTGACAGTGTGCCACTTTGTCAACAAATTTTCGACCATCTCCTGAGAAGCTCTCCATCCTTCCAACCATACTTTCACGTCTTTCTCATCGTACGAAATCTTTCCAAGGCGTAATCGGGTCTTGAAAACTAGAGTAAACTCCTCAGGGTTTATGGGACGTTCTACATGCGTTGAGGGAGCAGGATCACTAGCTGGAAGAGAGTGTGATCGACTAAAACTTGATCGCTTAGTTTTGTTTTTTTCCTTGCACCAAAAAACTAAGCCTTTTTTGCCGAGAAGTCCCATAATTGTAGCTCTGATGTTTTCTTCTTCACCAGGAGTAAGGCTTTTGCCTTTACTGCAAATGATCACAAGAATCTTCTTCTCTGTAAAGGAAAAGACAAACTGGAAATTGGATTCTATATTGTTGACGCTAAACAAAATAAACTCTATTTACCCCCGAATGTTTTTATAATACAAAACCTTGTGAATTAGAGCAATAAAATGACTGAAACCGATGATTCAAATCAAACATTATAGTTAGTGTTACGAAACCCAATTGGCAACGAGTCCAGCCAGGGCACACAGTGAGACCAGAACCTTGAACTACCTGGATTGCACGTTGAACACTGTTGTACTGGAGTGTTCAGTTCATCGGAAACAGAACACCTCTTTCTTTGATGTCATAAATTTTATGTACATTTCTTTCAAAGAAAGAACACCAGAACAGTTTTCAAACAATTCTTCAGAACACTTCCTTATAAGTTTAATTTCATTGTTTTTGTCAAGAGATGACGCGTAAAATTTCTACATGCACGACAAGTAATATGGGCTTAAAGTAAATTGGTTTCAAATTCAAACAAGGGAAGCGGGAGCGCCTTGCCCCTTTCCTGAATCTCTGGGTATAACGACGAGTATGCAGGGAATAGTGTGAGGAAATGTTCTTACCTACAATCCTGTTGGTAGTTTTCAATAGCTCTTGATATACTGTACTGCTTGATTTCGTCAGCAGTTCCTCTTCTAGTTTTGTAGATTCAACAATAATAAAACAGGATCTCACTGGTGGCGTATTTTCCAATAGGAGTAAATCCTTCATAACGCGCGGATCTGTGACAGGAATAATACTCAGTAAGACTGCACCACCAAACACTTCCTCTATGGTATTAATATCAGACTCGTCCCGGATAAGGATCGCTATCCTTTCCTGTGGTGGACTTGTATCCATTCCTTCGACACGTGCACGTTTAGGTTTTGTTTTTGGCAAAGAATCCTCTGCTACAAAATAAAAAAAGGTAAAAAATAAGGGGTTATGTATTCATTGATTTTTTGGACCGGGAAGAGTCTCAAATGGTTGAAGGGACGTTTTGTTATTTTGCCTCAAAGGTCCACCCTTAGGCAGACGATCTTCAACTTGTATGTGACAGATTTGCAGATAACCTCGATCCATCCACAGCTTGTTACCAAAATGCAATGTTTAGTTAAGGGAAAAAAGCCACTGCAAAAACCGTGTACGATCCATCTTGCTCAACGTCGGATCCAAAAAGATCGTGATCAGTCAAAATGTCGCCTGTGTAATCTACAATATATTGGAGAAACTAAACGTCGCCTCAAAGACCCTTTTAATGAAGAGGGGGAGAGGGGGTGCAGAGGAGAGGGGGTGTCTGTGCACAGGCTAAAGCGTGTCGGCTCAATAAGTTGTTTGGGGTGCGCATCTACAATAACCACAAATGGGTTACCATGTTAACGAATTAGCTACTCCACGTTATGGTACCTTGGACGCGCTTAAAAGGAAACAACTTGTTGAATCCTTAGTTCTATCAAACCTAGACTTGAGTGATATTTTTTTACCTCCGCCTGATGAAAATCGGCTCGATCGAAACTCAAAGGCGTCGGTGTCTATTTTTCAGCTGCCAGCTTTGTCACGGGTCGCTATGTGAACTCCGTGAATACGATACCTAAACGAAGTTGGTTACCAATCAGCGAGCAACGGAACTGGAATTTACTTAAAGAAGCCCAAAAGCCTTTGCACTATGAACATTGGCCAAGAAATCTAAGATTAGAAACTGTTAGCCACAGTAGATCACTATGCTTTCGCTACTCTGAAAGAGTGCAGTCAGAATTTACTTTTTCTTTTTGAGCTTACTGGTTTATAGCCATGCCAGTAACGCTCCATACTATCGCCTGTGTAAGAATGATGGTAGGATCCTTTCTATTGTTCTCGTACGTGCCGTAAAGCGTAACCTTAGAAGTCAAAGGGACTCATGGTTCGAGGCCTGCTATCTCCCATTTTTATCCACTCTGTTTTAAAAGACGTTGTTATGACAAAGAGGGATTTGATGTGATTAGGTTAAATAGGATATTAAGGAAGTTAAGATCGTCTGTTGGGTCAGACGTCGAACGAACCAATTAACTGAATCAGACCAAAAAGCCATTTTAAGAAATTATTTCCCCAACGAGGCTAAGTATACATTGTCATTCATTCATGTTTAATTTTTGGTTTAGCTCTTCGCTTGTGAAGATCAACGTTTAACCCGGAGACGATCTTCAGACGTTCTATCCGTCTGAAGCAGACGAATAGAACGTGTTCGACGATCCAAATTCATTCTAGCCTGCTAGCATGCTCTCCTTTTGTGGCGAGAGAACGGGCGAGTGAGAGTGACTATTTGCGACTCCCCCAAATGGACATGCAGAATCACAATTTAATTCAACTCATTTAGACGAACCTAACTGAGCCAGACGTCGAACTTTTCATGAACTTAACTCACCAAGTTTGGTTCGTCTCATGGAAAGTCGACGTTTGGCCTAGGCCTGAAAAGACTATTTTTTATAATTATAGTATTTGAATTAATTTACCATGAACAGTACTAGTACTTGTAAGTAACGATATAATTTCAACAATACATATATCGCATATATTTCTTTTATCATTTCTCATTTATTCTAAATGTAGAGCCATGTTATACTAAAAATACTGTTAATAAACCACCAAAACCATCACCATCATCAGCATCATCATCATCAGCATCATCATTTTCAGCGTCATTGTTGTTGTTATTATCATTATTATTGTTATTATTATCACTATTTTATTTCCTTTTTATTAATAAAAATAAACAAAAATCTTTATTAACATATGACGAAATAAAAATATTAAAAGATCCTAAAACACTAATTTACAAGCTCACGCCATTATCACTTTCTAAAATTAGCGGACACTGCACGCTAGGCTAGCGTTTAGCCACAGTCATCAATAAAATCCCCTTGTGGAATCTTATGGAAGGGTATCTTGGAACCTCTTACGCATGTGTGTACCGACCTTAAAATCTCAAAAGAAAGCAATGTTCTAATCCAATTAATAGTAACGTGATAAGGTTCCTCATTCTTTTCTGAGAGCTTCTCGGCTAGGCGTTTAATTTCCTTTTTTAGTTAGAATACGTCTGCGCTTGAAAATAGCTTTTTAATTTAAATAAAGTTTGTAACATTGAGATTAAGAGGTTTTTTAATCGAAATGATTTGTAAATCAAGAGTGCTTTGACTGAATAGATTTTTAAACGAAATTAATCGTAATTAGGTTTTAATAGTTACAATATATCTTTGTTATCAATGAAAGATTAAATTATTATTGTCATTATTATTGTTTGGCTACCCCTTTTTTACTATTTGGCACATTCACACTTAAAATCCTTCTTACCTTGTACGATAACGTACTCTTCAGTTTCATCCGCCATATTTTCGTCTTTTTCTTCCGTCTTGCTAGGATGTGGCAAATGTGCTTTTTCGTCCTCTTGCTGCTGTAGCTCAGTTTCTTCGCGTCCTTTTTCACCTGTCTGCAAGGCTTCTGTTTCTGTTTGAACCTTGCCCGAGGAATGTCCCTCTGTCCTACTGCGTTTTACATCTGCCTCAGCTCTTTCTTGAGTTTCGACTTTCTAAGAAGAAAGTAAAGAAATAAATGGTAAATAAGTCAGCACTGAGCAAACGAATGAGTGAGTAACCGCCCCTTTTCGTTCAATCTAAACTGGGAATGTTGTCACCGCGACACTGGAGTGAGCGAACTAGGGGTAGCAGAGGTTTTAATTAACGAGTCCCAAAATTTCACTTGTAACAAGGTACAAAAACACAGTATACCTGTATGGGAACCACTTGAGTAACCGGTACTTCATCTCCCTTCTTTTCGGGAACAAATTTCTCATCCTTTTTATCAGGATTAAAGTAATGCAATAGTGCTTCCTCGTGAATTGATCTGTGTTGTTTGTCCCATGAAAATATGAAGCTTTTCCTTCCATCCAAGTATTCCTCGCTAAACTGAGAGGAAATTTTTCTCCGTGCCCAGCGCGACAAGAAGGAGCTTTGTTCCTCAGCAGAGTCCTTGTAGCTGTCATCACCACCGATAACAACAAGTACTTTTTCTCCTATAAGATGATGAAAGAAGTTCCAATCCCTTCAAAATACCACAAGTAAGGTACCGAGTACGAAACCTCGTTTTGAAACTAAGAAACTTGAGCTCGGATTTTACTATCATTTTTACTTCTGTTCGAATACATTTGTCAACGGTGAAATCATTGTGTGGAATAACTTTTATTGCGCCTTACCCTCCAAAGAGAGGTATAGGTCTAGTTACAAAAAAGGTTTTAAGACGGTATCCACCAGGAAATTGAGTAATTTTAATTTTCAGTGGACAAAAACATTGTACCAGAATAATTTGTATTGGATTCTTTTTAACATTTTTTAAGGGTTTAAGGCGTAATAAATAATCTGTAGTAACACCAAAGAGAATTTCTCGTGGAAGTCCGAGAAAATGAATGTCAAATTTCACAAGAATTGTGATAACACACTAGCAAAAAATTCTGAAAATTTCATGTGAAAGATGTAATTCTGTGAAATTTGACTTTCATTTTCTCGGGCTCCCATGAGAAATTTTTGTTGTTGTTAGTACAGATGATTCATCACATCTTTAGCCCTCGAAAAATGTAAGAAAGAATGCAATATGCTTTAAATTATTCCGGTACAAGATTTTTGTCCACTGAAATTCAAAATTTCTCGATGTCCTGGTGGATTCCGTCGTAATATATATTTGGCTATAAATACCTAGCAGATGAGACAAAACCGAAAATCAAACAACAACAAAATTACAATACATACGCTTATGATAATAATCAAATAAACAATACATTTATTCATTAATTTTGCCATTAACCACATAAGAATACATTAACAATATACAAGAAATTTATAGCAGAGATCCACGCGCGCGATGTGGAGCACCATGGGTAAGAAAATTTAGTAATCTACCCATCCGAGAAATTTTGGCAATCACGTGACCGTACGCCAGACCGACCGTCCGTCCGCACCACAGGCATACCAATGTAAAATAACTCAACCAACAGGTATGGCAACCCAAATGCAACTCGAGGTTACTTTGGCGGGAAATCGCGTCTTGTAAAGCAGAGACAACTACAGAGTCGATCAATAAAAACGAAAACGGAAAGCGGAAATTGTTTCCTTGACCGTGTTGTCTTAAGTATTAAGCTTTAATTAATTGTCATGCCCACAAATTTGGAATACAGAGAAAAAATAAAGTGGGCGACAGGCCAGCGAAGCTCAACGAGAAAAAGAGCGACAGAGAGCTAGAGCGGAAGATAAGGAGCCGTTTGTTGGAAGAACAACATTAAAATGTTTTAGCGGCGGTGAGAAAATGAGAAATTCTAGCGACCACCAAGTGAAAATGAGCGAGTGAAAAAAAGTGAACAAGAACAGGTACGACATTTCCTCCATAAAACGTGTAACTAGGAAGTTTCTGGAAATTTCACGTTGTAGTCGTGCAAAACAACGGCAAAGAAATGTACAAAAAAAGTGTGCTGCACGTGTAAAGTTGTTTTTTCACCGTTCTCGTTGCCTTCGCCGCTCAGCATAAAGGTGATGTTACAGGAAACGATTCGAAACGACGATTTTTAGTGCAACACAGCGTTGCAATGTTGGAACAACGTTGTAACTATTCGAAACAATGTCGCAACAATGTTGCAACGCTGTGTTGGGCTGAAAATCGTCGTTGCGAATCGTCTCGTGTAACATCACCTTAACATGATTTTATATTTTGTTTGAGCAAACTATAATTATTATCGCGAGCTTCGTTTTTAGCCCTGGCTAAATCTATATATTAATATATTAAAGATAATAGACACTATTCTAACGAAATTATTTACCAAATGAAATGTTCATAGTGGTTATGATTTACATTTTTCAAGCCGTTTGTCAATTTTTTTGTGAATATTTAATTATCTCAGCGCAACGCGGCAAAAATAGATCAGGTGACTAATTATTTTAAAAACCTAGAAGTTCGTTACGCAACTTACATTTCAAAAGTGTCACCACAGATCGCACTTCGAAGCTTACTAGCCGCATATGGAACACAAATTGTAAGTATAATATTTTCCCGTCGCTTCAACCGAAATCGACATGTGTAATAACCAACAGGAGGGCATTTTGCATGCGCATGCGTGAATCCGCTGAACGACAATAGCGTAGGCGCATCAAATCTGATGGCGGGAAATCGAAAACTCGCGCGTAAAGTTACAGTCCTTTTAAAAGCCATTTCGTTGGTGCTTTGAATACCGTACTTTCCTACAAAAAATATTCTCCATGACAAAAATCGGACGTTTTCTACGCGCGTTTTCACTGGTAGATTTTTCAGCAGTAGGTTTTCTTGGCCTTTAAAGACAAGACTCAACGCCAAAAGTCATGGTCCTGTATAAGTCTGATTTTCACTGGCAAAGCAATGCATTTCTATGGTTTGATTTCCAAACTCGTGGTTTTATTTAGGGAGGAAATTCATCGTAGCAATGTTCAGCTGCTTTAAGACAAAATCCAAAAAAAAATTTACCACGCGAGGTTTATTTATTAGCGCGATGTCTCATGTTAAACTGATCGCGGAGACACGCGTTTATATATGCCACAAAACTTGAAATCTATGGGGTTTTAACAGTTTTTTGAAAGTTTTCGCGGAAAAATTTATAAAAAATATTTTCCTATAGGAAGTGTATAATGGATTGAGTTTGAAGCAACAATTACAAGTACATAATCACTTGAGCATTTCATAAGCTCAGTTGCAAACAAACGAATGCACATACTCCGAAAAAACGAACAGTACTTTTATTTTTCTTTAACTCTAAAAGATACAGAGATTTTTCCTAAGCTACTATTTTGAAGCGACTCTTGAGTAACAGCTCCTGTCTCCCACAATTGATTTCTTGTTATTAATTTATATTTGATGACAGTAGTAATCTATTCAAAACAGAGAATGGCCATCACTCCATAAATCTAACTGACGATGTTGTTCACCTTCAAAGCCTGTTTAAACATAAGACAGGAAGTTTGTTAAAGGGGTGCATATAATACTGTTTCCTCAAAAAATAAATACTTCTGCTAAAGGACCCAAATGAGCTGGGATGCGACAACAAACATGACACAAATGGATGGATGAATTTGTCTGTTATTAATCTTTCTGTTGAGAGCTTTTTACTGTATCCAGATGAACCTCTTATGTAAGGTGTACATCATGGAAGAATTATCAAGCAAAAACTGATACGTTAAACAAGAATGTGGTTCAATACAGAGGAGAGGCTGGTCTCAGTCAACATCCTTCGTGAATGAAATGTCTCACAAATTAGCATATCAACAAATGTAGTATCCACAAAATATATCATTTAGGAATAAATGCGATTTTTTTGCAACAGAAGCAAGGATTGACTGAAAAGGTGTATTGATAACGTTTCATTTCGTGCTATTTTGGGGTTGGGGAGATAGGCTAGATTTTCTTTAAAACGCCAAAATGTTATATTTATTTGCATAATGAAATGTAAACAAACAGTGTACCATCAAAATAAGGTGGAGAAAATCAGAATTCAAACCGATTGCTGTAATTTTTTTCCTTTGTATAACTAAATGAGAAAATATTCTTATTTTCTAAACACAATCTTACTGCCTTCATTATACTGATTTAAATTTATAGTTGAAGTGCGTGTATTTTATTTCTCAACGAAGACGTACCGGAGAAGAAAGCTAAAATTACTGCAGAAGGCGATTTTTCACAGCCTTCATCAAAGCGCCATTCATTCGCGGAAGTATTCTTAGTTTCATTAATCATTAACTTAATCTGGGGAGAAAGGCAAGATTTCGAGATAAACAAGCCAGAGAAAGGGTGAAAAACAGTTTCACGGCAGAATGGACACTTATTTAACCACTGTATTCCTGAAACGATTAAGTTCGATTTTAGAGTTATACTATTGAGAAGAATTAAGTATCTATAGGATAATTGTTTAACGACAATCTATCATACTGACCTTTTCCTCCTGCTCAAAAAATGTGTGCGAAATGTTAGGTAGTAAGAACATTCAGCCGCCATCTTGTCTTCGATGTACTGTTTTACGAAAGGAAAGACTGTCCTCTCAAGGGCGACAGCGACGCTACAATAAACTCACTTTCATCGTAGAAATACCTCGATACCTTAAAGAACATGTTTGTGGAATGTAGCACCCAATACACGTCATTCAGCTCCAGAAAACGGCCTGCAAATGCTAGTACTGAACGTAAACAATTCACAGAAAATGCCTCAGTGGCACTTCAACAGCCCATATTGACGCATGTGCATACAAAATGCCCTCCTGTTGTAATAACCTTCTTTGTCATATTAATTTAATTTTTCAGTTGACTATACTACTACAAGTGCAAATAAATTCCATGTACGGTCATGTACGCGAAAATCAGTTAGTGGTGAAATCTTCAACATAAAGTAGCCCTTCAATCACAGGAGCGAATCAGGTTATGACAAGGAAGGCTCTATAGAAGCCGGGGACTTATACACTATAGGCCTCCTGGCACTTGCCTATAGGGTACACCATGTGAGTTAAGGGTACTAAATGAAAAAATGGAGTAAAGAAAAGAAAGAGAAAAAAGAAAGGGCATGTAGCTCAACAAAGAATATATTTGACTGAGAAAGAGGGAATAAAAGTCTTTTGCCGAACAACAGAAACAAACTGATACTTTCACTGTTTTGAATTTCACGACTTAGCTAGTTGAAAAACTTACATGTAGGACTTGAAACCGAATTGAGAATTTTCGAAAATACATTGAATCCAGGAGCTCTTTCCTTTTTTGAAACGTTAGACAAAGGCTGCAGAAAATTGTTATTCAATGCACTCGTGAAGCCTATCTTTGAATACTGTTGCTCGGTTTGGGGTAATGCCCCAAACGCCCAGCTGTTAAGAATACTTAGAGTTCAAAAACGCTGCAGTAGATCAATACTGGATGCCAGGCTATTAGGTAATTCCGCACAAATTTTCCAGAAACTACAGTGGCTGCCAATCGGACGACATAATACGCGTAAAGAAACTGTGTATGATGTTCAAAATTGTGAACAAGGAATGTCCAGGTTATTTCACAAGTTATAGAACTTATATAAAGATACACATAGCTATAACACTCGACTATCTTCTAAAAATGCCTTGGCTGTACCGAAATGCCGGTCTAACGCGGGTCTACGAACATTTCATGCGAGCGCGACTCACCTCTGGAATCGTCTAGACGACAAGCTTAGAAACATGACAAATGAAAGTAACTTTAAAAAAAAATTTGCCCGAGAAATTCTTAAACGTTAATGCAAGTCGCAAACATTTTAGTATTACAAGGACATTTTAAGGTTCCTTTTTTATTTTTAACCTCGATTGTACTGTACTATTAAATTAGGTAACTATTTTTAACAATTTTCAATTTTTCTACTCTTTAACTTCCTTTTACGATATCTTTTACATCTTAGAATTATTTGTAGATTGGGCCCACAATGTAAACTACTGGACTAAGCAGTAATTGTGTAAGCCATTAGTTTTATTTATTTATTTAGATGGCCATACTTTGCTATGATTGGAGATGTATGGAAAGGCTTATCACCTTCTGTTAAGCTGGCAAAGTGAGCATCATTTTATGAGACATGAAAATAGAGGTCCTGCATAAGTTCGTCATATCCTTTACGATGTATTAGGGAGAGGAAATGGGACGAGGCATGAGGACCTAGTACGGTTTATGTAATCCTTTGGAAGGGGGATAAGGGGGAGGTGGAGGGTGGAGGGGGGGACAAATACTGATGCTCACCCTAGTCTATAGCCTACGTGTAGCCGCACCCTCCCCCTCTCCGTTTTTCCTTTTGACGGGGGGAGGGGGCGGCTACACGTAGGCTACCTAATCTATTATTTCTTTGTGGTCACATAGGGTGTATGACGTGTAGTGCCACTTGATACGTGTATTTGGAAAGTGAAAGCGAAACATGTCCACTACAGTTTTAAAATAATTTGATATTTTCGGCGAGCTCTTTTCCAACAGTTAAACTACTTTTCCTTTAACATTTTCTTCCTGTAAAATAAAATTAAGAGGTCCTTAAAATGTATATTAAACCACTGAGTTACGCACACTGAATTATGGAAAGCGACGAAAACCTGTCCGTCACTATCACAACATACTTCCGCCTTCTGTTGTTATTCCTTGTTTCTAAATCCATAGAATACTTCTGTGAAACATATTTGGGAGGATTTTCTTTTCAAGCCCGTGAAAGAGTGATCTCTAAAATTCTCTGAAACCATTTACTTCTTAATTGAGCCTTCAGATTTTAATTTTTCTAAACAGAATTCTCACCCGTTGCTTGAAGTAAGGCTTTGTAGATCTTTGCATATCCAATGCCAGCGTTTTCTTCATTGATGGAGAGACGCGATTCGTGTGCATGGACCACAAAGACAGCGACATCATCCACCTTGATTTGGTCTGGAATTATGTTTTCACATACCTGAGACATATCTCGAAGGACAAAGTAACGCGACTGGATTGAAAAGGCAAAGTTCAGTTTTGGTTCGATGGCCTTAAACAGCTTCTCCACCACATCAAGCTTGTAAGTTTGATCACAATTAAAGAGATGAACACATCTGATATTTGCTTGATTTTCCTCTTCGTCTGGAGTTTTCATTTCATGGTCAGCATTTGAACTAGCCTCTGACGTCTCCATTTTGTTGTTCTCAGACAATCTATCAAGTCGGTGTATTCCCCGAAAAAGCGGATGTCGTGGTTTCGACGAAACTGGACAGTTACATGCGTGAGGCAGTTTGTGAACAAGTCACGCAAGTCACGAAAATAGTTCAAAACTTGCTTGTTTGTTAACGAGGATTTTTCCTAAACGATGAATAAAAGACATAAAAGAGTTAAATATTTTATTTTTGGACCATAAGTGTGAATGGATTTTGGAAAACATCTGTCCGAAAACTCAAATGTAGGAAGAGTATTTCTCGGAAAACCTTTCGTGACGTCAAAGTGTTCCGTATTCAACGTCCGAATGAATCGACGCTTTTCTTTTGGTGAAAGCATCACTCTAGCTTATTATCCCTAGTTTTAGCACCCAAAGAAATGCCTTTGCTAAGAGAAATAATCATCTAATTCCTAAGAAAACAATCATGGCACCGATCGAGCCTCCTGCGAGAGAAATAGAACAGCTTGTTGAGAGATTAATAGAGTACAGAGTTGGCGCGTACGAGCGGTTTGATGATGCCCTGGACGGGGAAATGGATGGCTTCCGTTTGAATATCGTACTGTTTGGAATGGCAGGGTCTGGAAAATCAGCCTTGATTAACACTATCTTCGAATGCTTGGAGACGGGTACACGGCCTGCTGTAACCCAAACGACTGGAAGGGAAGGAACGAAGATTTTAGAAGCTTGTGATCTGCCGAACTTTGTCACGATCTATGACACCAGGGGATTTTTTGATCTTGGCAGGATAGAGGAAGGTACAAAATCTTTCACTCCTAAATCATTTTAAATTTGGAAAATACAGTATGCGGTTTTAAATCTGGCGTGTAGAACCATAAGTTTTGTTCCTTAACTAAGTTGAAAAATTGATGAAGTGAAACTGATAGCGTTAGGGTTTCACCAAGCGGTACTATATTAAACGACGATAACTGTAAAACCTCTTAAATGAACACTTTCCTCGAAATTTTATGTTATCAATCGTTTTTGCTTTTTTGAGGATGAAACAAGAAGTTGAGAGGGATAGGGTGAGGGATGTTCTAGTAGACAGGGAGGGTGATTGTCGTTGTCCCTATTCCCGGAAGGACCCCGGAAGCAGTCTTTTCGCAAAGCTTGTGTAAAGTGACACTAAAAGCATATCAGGGATTCTTACCATTTATCTGGGGAAACCGAAAATTCCATTCCGTTGGAAAGCTTCATAAAATATTAGCTTCCATTTAAAGCGATGCAATTTTTTCTCCTTTTTAGACCCTCGAGCTGATTTGGGTATACTTTGTAGCGGTCTGTCCTTCTCCCACCAAGTTGAATTGAACTAGCTTGTTAAATGTTTGTGGGCGAGGTTTTTAACGGGATGGTTGGTTACCTCTCATTCTGTTTACGTCTACTGAAGGTGGACCAAGAGGCTTTCCCTACCAACGTTTCCCCCCCAAAATATACCCACACAAAATCAAGGACAATTCGCTGCGGGTGGTCACTGATACGACGCCTAGTGGTTTTATTGCTCGCCACATAGGGTCTTTCCGTTATTCGTTCATACGATTTGTGAAAAAAAAAAGAATAGATAAAATCTTCCCCTCAGTTATTCCAAGACTTTGAGTGGTGACCCTCTTGGGAACTGAATGGGGTCTTGGGCTCTTAAGTCTGTACTCGACCATTTAAACTATACAGCTTTCAGTATTGGATAAGTGATATTGGAGGAAATTTAAGTCTAAAATACTTATCTTTCGGTTGAATAGGGGAGCTGTTTCGTATTATTTATGGAATTGAGCGACCTGGAGATGATCTGACGCGAGATTACACGAGTGCTTCAAAAGCAGTTGAAGGTGGGGTCGGTGCTTACAGGCTCAAAAAAAAGCCCATTGCTGACCAAATGCATGTGATACTGTGGGTGATTAAAGCTAACGATGTTAGATTTGAAACTGGAAAGTACCGGGAGATAATCAAGTTTGTTCAACACCAGATGAGAGAACAAAGTGAGTCCTTAATATTTCTCAAATTGAGGCACATTTCCTATACAAAGGTTCTTCATAGCCGTAAAATCGACAAAAAGAGTTTAACTCAATCCCTTAATCCCCTCAATGATCCCCACGAATATTTAATAATCCCGATCAAGAGCACTAGATGCTTTTCGGGAAATGGTTATGCAGAGGAAGGTAGTCTGTTTCAGGCGTCCAGATTGTGGGGCCAGCGCAAGGAAACGTGAGCAGGAAAAACACCGAGGGGGTGGGGTAGGTAGTGAGGGCGAAGTTCGTTCCTCTCTCCCTCTCTCAGGCTTCTTATTTTTTTTCTTTTTCTCGCTCATTGACTCAGCGCCGCACTCCATTATCAGAACGCCTGGAACAGGCTGAAAGACCGCGACTTCTTCATCTTTGAAGACCCAGTAGCAGATAGATGGACGGTGGGAACTAGGGCGCGCGAGTACGAGGAGTGCGTTTGAAACATGCAGGGAGCCTTCCTGTCCCGCCTTAATTCGTCCATTCTCCTTCCCGCAAAAACGCCTGCCACGCAAGCTACATGTCACTGTCAGCCTGATGTCTAGTTTGGTTTTGGTTTTGTTTTTCTGTCTCTCTTATCATAGTTATCACGATCATTACGGTCATCACTTTTGACGATGAAGTACGGAGTATGCCAAACCCTGGCAAACAAAGAAAAAAGTTAAAGGAAGCGGCGAGAGATGTCACTGGAAGTGAGCCGCGGGATGTCTTCATGATCGCGAACTCAATACCTGATAAAGAGTTTGATCCGGCGTACAAGAAGGAAGTGCTGAAGATGTTAGAGCGAGCTTTGAAGTGCGGAGAGCTGTCCGTCAAGATGCGACAGGCTCAGAGGGAAAGTCTCAAGAGATCCATATCCGAGCCTCGAGGTAGAGCTGAAAAAAGCCCTGTAGAAAATACGGAGCCTCCTGACTACAAGAGCTTGCCGTGATTAAAAAAACCGTAAATTTTAGGCACACTTTTCCATTGGATGCTATGTTTGTTTACTTATTTAGCTATTCGAATTACTGGTTCCTTTGACAAGAGTTGAAAGTGCTGTATCATACATTCCGGCTAAGAGATAGAGGATGCGCTGAATAAGTTGTGGGAAAAAGCTTAAGGCAATCGATGAATGAATGGGGTTAGTTTCTAAAGGAACATTGCATGTTGTTGCTCCGGTAAGGGGGGTAGATTGGTGACCGTTAGTAGTTTCATACCTTCCTGTGGAGGCCAATCTACCCTATCAACTTAGCTGATAAATTGGGAAAAACATCTCCTGAGCACATCAGAGATAGTCCCTAGATTATGGCTTCTTGGTAGCTTGGTCTCTAATTCCTGTGTCCTTGAGACTCGCTATCGTGCTGAATTTTAATATATCAAAAGTGGCATATTGGCCTCTGGCGATGAAGAGAAGACTAAGGTCGATCAGCGAGTCTGTTTTGTCAAAGGCTGGCGACATTCCAACAGGGAGCATTATGTGCAACCTGCCTTCATGGCTTAGTACTTATATTTTCTCAGGGTCCGAAAAATCTTTCGGGCACGTTGGCGCAACAGTGATATACAGTTATTTGGAGAAAGGTTGTCGGAAAAAATGTGCACGCGACAATCCCGAAAGGTAATATGGGATATGATCAATACACTTTTCCTAACAAACGTAGCTGTCGAACCTACTTTGGTTGCTTTCCTTTAGCAATCGCAAACATCCCGTACCATTCTTTCAAATTTCTTTGAAGAACAGTGCACTCAAACCCACCCACAATACCTTTCGGGATTGTCTCGTGCACTTTTTCCGACAACCTTTCCCGAAATAGCTGTATATAGATGTGACTGCAGGTGTAGGTGCGGTTCAGTTTCGTCAGCATATTTGTTGTTCATGACGTAGTACTCATATTTTAGGAGGTATCTAAACCCTCTTTTTAATGCTACTTCTTTTCAGTTGTTTTCTGTCTTCTATCAAGACCGCGTATTTCAGTGCGAGACATGCTGCATCGCCCGAAGATTTAACGTTATAAATATTTTGCAAGTGAACTTTTGTTTTCGGGCACGATTAGCGTAACGGTAGTAAGGATAGGTGTGACTGCGGGTGTAGCTAGGGCTGCAGTTCAGTTTCGTCTGCAAATTTGTTTACACTGTAACAATAAACCAACTTCAAATAGTGTAGGTTAAACTGACTATGTCGAAAGTCGGATGAAGAACAGAATTTCCTGTTTAAGCCGGCTGGAAAGCGGGTAGTGAGCCTCCTCACACCGGAAAATAGTAGAAGGTGGGGATAAGACACAATTTCATTTAAAAAAATTACAAAAAAGAAAAGTTTTACAACGTAATTCAATTATGTAGAAGTGCATAAGTGATTTTAATTTTTTTCTTCTTCATAATGGTTAGAACAGAATAAAAATTAAGTTGTTAGCTATGCTTGCGTTTTATTGTGTTGGTTGTATCAGTGTACTGTCAATCATTTAAAAAAAACCCAAGATTTCCAAAGCGTTTAGTCCACTGAGCAAACTAAGTATTAAGTCTTATTCAGTTAATTAAGGAAAGTAAGGAGGTTATTAATTACTGGTTGAAACTGCCTCACACCAAGGTTGTTATAGCAACCTATAACATGACCAATTCGCGTCCACTTCTGGTTCAGTGATGTTCTGGAAAAAAGAATTAGTTGGAGATGAATCGAACCCACGCTGGGCCCGGCAACAAAATCTTGTTCTGAACTAAGGCTTTACTTTAGAGAAACACTTCTAAAAAAATTTTCTGTGTACCTCGTAAGAGCCATACTGTAAAGGTGTACGAAAGATTGCTAGGGGTAAATAAAAAAAAAATCTTCAGCTTTCGGTTTATTGAGAAACGCGGATCGGAATAATCACGTCAGGATAAAGTCTGAAAGAACGCCCTTTGTGTTCTGGTGACGTTTTCACTGTCATCTTGGTCGTGGTTGCTTGAGCTACCTAACAAAGAAATATTTGTAGTGGGTGCGTGCGCATTCGCGGATGGCGCCTTAACATTTCCGGGAAATGCCCAATTAAATGACCCCAGTCAGCTTGCAGCTATCAGGCGATCCGACATGTCGTACCAGCAGAAAAGGTTTTATCTTTTTAACTGTGACAACACTTATAGTTTAGAGACAGTTGAGAAGCTTTTGCTTGAGGCAGGCGACAAATATGGCTTCAAAATCTCGGTTGATCGTCTTTGTTTTGGCCTGCAACGAATGGCTGAGGTGTACGAAAGGACATTACCTCACCTGGTAATGGATTATGCTATCTTTGTTGTTCATGCAGACGAATCTCGTCTTTCCATCAACGAAGACAACGCTGGGATTGGTTACGCGAGGCTTTACCGTGCTCTGCTTCAAAAAACAGGTGGGTTTTAATGTAGCTTGCATTGACTTCCATTGTTTCTGCGGCTAAACTTCAGAACAGTAGAATTGTATATATTTCATAAATTCAACGCAGACACCATTTAAACCCGTCAGTAAAGAGTCTTCCGAAAATTAACGCACAGATAATGGTGATATGAGAACAGAAAATCATTTATACGTTTTATAGAGCCACGTATGCATAAGGCACGGCGGAAGTGCTACAACCATTTCGATATCTAACTTCTAGGTCACGTGACGGAGTGCCACGTAAAGAAATGAATGTCTGGTGCGACATTAGAAAACTGGAAGCATATCTTGGAGAGATTTCGCAATAGTGTCCAATGTTTTTCGTACGATATTTAGGTGACAAGAGCGGAAACATTTCTTGGAAAGCCGTGGCCATGACAGGTGACCACTGAAACCGGAAGCGTTTCTTAGAAAGGCGGAAGTGTTACAACATTTTCGATACCGAAAGATATTAGGTGACAAGGGCGGAAGCATTTCTTGGAAATAACACAGGCACGGAAGGTGACCACTGAAACCGGAAGCGTTTCTCAGAAAGGCAGAAGTGTTACCTAAAGATATTAGGTGACAAGGGCGGAAGTATTTCTTGGAAATACCTCAGGCATGGAAGGTGACCACTGAAACCGGAAACGCTTTTCGGAAAGATTTTGTAACACCGAATTCAATATAAACGGTAGAAAATTTAGTTAACACACACCCGCGAAATTAAATGATTGATACTTTGATCGTAATAAAATAGTGGGTATAAAGTAAATAGAGCTATAATAAATATGTTGAAATCCTGACCTTCCTGTCAGCCAGGTTTAATGTATCACATCAAAACTCTGTATGAAGTTATGAATATATGAAAATCATAAATGTGAACTGTGGAGTGAAGAATTATAAAGGGTCTGAATGGGTCATTATATGAAAGTAGATCATCGCAGTTATAGACGCAACTTTTGCAGTTGCGTCTATAACTGTAATGATCTTCCGTCATATAATTCTTCACTCCACAGTTTACAAATATGATTTTCATATATTCATAACTTTATCATCATCCTTTAACGGGTTTATAACGAACCAATTCAACGACCTGCTCTCAGTTGTCACGTAAGCTTAATTGGTAGAGCGCTGCACCGGTATCGCAGAGGTCAAGCTTTCTTTTCGCAACTGCAAAAGTTGTGTCTATAACTGCAATGATCTTCCTTGATATAAAACTCTGTATACTGCTCAATTTACAGCCATTCCATGTTGCCACTTTTTTTTTCAGATAATAAAGTGCTGATTGTGATAGGAGGAGACAAATATTACAGAGATGAAGACGAAAAAACGCGTTCTGTCATCTCGCGCTGGGCGAGAAGGAAGGTGTCTTCCCAGTTTGGTGAAGAGTTTCTGGATGGAAGACAAAGCTTCATCTTCTCTTGGAATGAAAATCACCGACCGATTCACGAGGAAGCGATGTACCACTTTCTAGAACCCCGCAAAAGAGGATGCAAGTTTGAATACACACCTCCCAAACCCCTGCCCAAGCCCGTAGCACCTGTGGTCCCTCAACCCTTACCGAAGCCCGAACCATCTGCGGCCCCTTGGACAACAGGCACTTACCCGAGACCGGAGGTAAAGCTAATTTCCGTTTCCTTTCTTCCAAACATCCTTTTTGTAAGAACTAAGGGTTAATTCTCTAAGGAATGTTCGGTAAAGGCAATTCAAGAGAGCGCTCCTCCTACAACTAATAATCCCCGGGCATTTTTTTCATTTTAGAAAAGGTTAAATGCCCCCTATGTCGAGCAGTTAGTATCAGAAATCAAATCAATATTGCTTCCCTGTGAAGAACAAAATTAGTATTAACCAATCAGTTAAAAAATATTATCAAGTCGAGGACGATACTTTTTGCGACAAATTTTCTATTTTCGTCCAAATATTAGCCAAAATTATCACCGCGAATCTTTTTCTTATTTACCTTAAATTGAAAAAAAGCTGACGATAAGCTGCAATAGTACGGTCCTTTCCGGCCCTCCCCCCCCGAGGAGCATGTGCTGCTGGCCTCTCAGAGCCCATACCCCATTACAGTCTATTCTGTGGCCAATTATAGACCCCATCTTAGCCACTCAGATGCGAACCCATCCAGCGGCTCATCCCCATTAGCCTCTTATAAGAAAGTACTCCCCCGGGCTTTCCCACCTTTTAAAACTGGCAGCACTTAGTAGAAACCAAACAAAATACGTTTTCAAAAATTTTAGGTGTGCAAAAGATAATTATGTTGTTTTTCCTGGTGGACCATAGACTCACAGAAAACACAAAATCGAAGTCTAATTGCTAAATAGAATTCAAATAACAATTACCATAAAAATCTGAAGCTGTTTATTCATCATAATTCAAAGTTGTTGAGTCTCCTTGTCTATCCTTTTCTAGGACTTTCAAGATGCTAAGACTCCTCACCGTAGATCCTTCAACAACTTGCCGGAATCACAAAAAAGTGAGTTGACATATGATTTGGAGAAAGGCACTTATGAAGGTGAAATACTCTCTCTTTGGGTGTTTGGAAAAACATAGTTAAACTTATATACTACTATTAACATAGAAGTACACCTTTTTTTAGGATATTCTCCTGGTCGTCTAGCCATCATCTCTCACTGACGAACAGCCCATACAAAAAACCGTATTATAGCTGTAGTGTTAAAAGTGTATGTTTTGCCAAAGTTTAAAACGTTGTTGTTTTTCTTTTTTTAGTTGTTGATCGTTGTATCTAGTTACGCCGATGTTTAAAGTTATCGAATCGTAATCTGATATGATATGGATGTTGATAGAACAAATATGCTCTGAAACGTTCCTTCTTGTATCATTAATTGTGATGAAATAGACCATTCTTTGCGTAAAAAAAGGTTCTTATCTGAAATTGTCAATGGCCAGCTCAGATAGTTGTCATCTGTATGATATCATTTCCTTTCTTTCCTTTCACTTGTCCGGCTCCAGCGCAGGCGTATTTTAGCTTCTCAGGCCAACCTCGTTTCCAGGATCCTCTCTCTTGCCTCGAGAAAGAAGGCTGGAGAGAGAACCCCAGGGATTGTAGTCAGGCGTCCCCGCCCCCACCCCTTCGTTGCAGGGATTAAGTAACAAGTCAAAAGAGCTTGTGCGTAGGACACGCTTTGTTAAGAAATAGTAAGGCAACGTACAACATACATCTCATAAACTGTGTGATTCTTTCATATTGTAGCTTTAAATATGGGTGGTAGTGGAGTACCACCTGTTTACCTAGCAGGGACCGTGTTATTGGAGACATACGTGCGTTATGGAAGTATTTCATTTAACACTGGGGACATCTTCCAGGAGGAAGGAGGATGGCGACCAACAGCGAAACAGGTGTCAGACCTTATGAGTGGCTTCAAGTCCATGCCTTTGGCTAAAGTAACTTTCGTCAGTACTGGTAACGGGGGGGTTTCTTATTCGGTTGTCAAGGTGACAACTGACGATTGGTGGGAGCGCTGGTTGTCTTGGCTTAAGAGAAACTACAAGGTCTGTACTGTGGCGTGCGTTTTAAGCCTGGTTGTCTTGTTTGGGTATTTGTGGAGTAGTAAGGATTAGTTTAGGCGCGGTTAATTGTTTACCATTTACGAAAAGATTCCGAAAAATCTGGTTGGAAAGTGAATGGAACTTTATAAGGCTCGATTACCAACAGCTGTTCGTGATATGAGCCTGCCCCTAAGCGTGTTCTATGGAACATGCGTACGATTTCTTATGTTATTCCAGTGGAAAATTTCCGGGAGCAACGGAACATCTGACAAGGTAGTCCTGTTTTTCCGGGAGAAAGGTTCCAAGTGGAAACTTTGATACCATTTTCAGGCTTTCGCGGCCGTTAACTGATTTGTGCACTAAGGATGGTAAACACTGCCAGTTTTCTCATGTAAATGGTAAACAACCGTTGACTGCAGACAAGTCGCTGAGACTGCAAGTAGAGAGTACATGTAATATCGTAGCAACATGTCTGATGAAAAAGACAACAATATTGTAGTCGATTTAGTTCTGTCTATCTTTCAAGACCAAGCTTTCTGGTCGCGTTGATTAAAAGTTTAAAAAACACGTTTGAATCCTTATTGTTTGCTGTCTACAGGCTTATTTATTTGTAGAAATTTTTGTTCTCTGCCCGACCTTCGTTAACTTGAATATAAATCTGTTCACTTAATACCATTTCCTACATTGGCGCCTCTGGAAAAGCATCAATTTTGTGACGGTCGTGACTAGAATGGATACTCCAAAATCAGGTATCCGCTCGGAGACTGGAACTGAATAAGATTATTTTTCGGCAAATCGCTCCGACTCTTTACGACCTTGTTGTGTTCAAAGAGATAAGTATACGAAGACTGAAAAAGGCTAAGATGAGAATGGTTACTCCAAAATATGGATCAAAGCCTACATAGAGGTTAGTTGTTTTTCACGTTCTTTCTGTAAGAATTCAGTGCAAGGAGCAAACAATGTCTGTTTAATTACAGTACCACTACTGCGACTGCCCAGTGACTGCCGTGTAAAGCTTATTCATAGCGAAGTAACTGTTTGGATAGCTCAGAATAAGGTGGATACTTCAGAATAAGAATGGCCGAAGTATGGAAGTTTTGGAGGATTCTCACCAGACCTTAAGGTGACGGTAAGGAACCACTCATTCAGACCTTAAGGTATGGAGGAGCTCAATCTAGAAAAGAATTTTCTTGGCACTGTTGTCCTCAGTTTGATCTAGAAATATGGAGGGCAGGGGACCTCCCCTAGATCCACTGCTGGCCTCTGCCAGCCTCCCCTTGTTCACCTGCTATCTTTTTACATTTACTAGAATCTCTAGTATCAATCCAAATTATTTATCCTAAATATTAGGATTTTTGCAAAGTTATTTATAGTTACTTTTTTGCACTTTTATTTTGTTTTGTTTTTTTCAAATCCCAGGAGCCTCATTGTCACCAAAGCTCTCTGCCTTCTATACCCTATCCCACACTGAACTGTCTGACAACAGTCCTCAGCCAAGTGGTACTATCATGGTGTTGAAAAGTGTGGAAATAGATCCTGTTGATCCTGGGATGAATTCTTTTTCTTTTTCTTTCCCCTTCCTCCACTCAAGGGGAGGGGGGAAGTGTTTTCCTTCCCCTCTCTGTGAGCTATTACCTATTTCCTTGATTACCTTCTGAGCTGCTGATGAGACAAGACCTTCAGCATTAAGCTGGTTATGGGCTACTTTTTGTTTTTCACTTAGTATGGTGAGCTTATCATAAATTTAAAATGGAATAAAAATGGTCATGCAGGCATATCCATGTTGCAGCTGTAACAGGAGGAGGAGTTGGAGGTCTGGGGGGTGTTGCAGGCAAATGCTTGTGAGGAACAGAGAAACCAGTTGGAGAAAGAAATGAAGAAATGAGGAAAATTGGAGAAGGCTTCAAGAGAAAAAGCAAATAAAATGAAAAAAAAAAAAAAAAAAAAAAAAACAGGAAAAAAAAAAAAATTTTCATTGAGGCCAAGCAGTTGGCTGCTCAGTTGCATGTCTGGGTAGCTTGACCATTTGGTTAATAAAATTCTCAAAACCACAAACAAACCACTCTAAGAATTTTATAAAATGTGTAAAAAAATTGCTTATTACTTTTATAAAAATAAAGTCATTTGTTTACAATTCTAAAACCACTTTTTCATTTCTACCTTTTAATAATAATAATAATAATAATAATAATAGACACTTATATAGCGCAGTATCTACTAATTGCTCAAAGCGTTTTACAATAATATGGTAAGAGACTAGAGTTAAAAACTATTATAACATAAAATAAAAATTAAATAAAGCTACTAAAATCAAACATCGTAGGCTAATTTAAATAAGTATGTCTTCAACTGCATCCTGAACTGGTCGACAGATGTAACACTCCTGAGTTCAGGGGGTAATTGGTTCCATAACCTAGGAGCAGCTGCGGAAAAAGCCCCATCACCATACGTCTTTAACCTAGTCCTAGGCACGGCTAGAAAATTCTGGGAACTAGAACGAAGTAAGGTAGTTTTGGTAGCAGAGAAAGGCCCCCAGTTCAGTGCATTACAAATAATTATCACCTACAAAGTTATCTATCATCTAAATTAAAAAGGAACAACCAAATCATTTCCTTGTGGTACCTGCCTAATATCAAAATGAATAACTAAAATACTGTAAATGAGTAATAATTATTGAAGTAGGGTATATCCAGGTCGTTTTAGCTTAACAAAACAAAAACACAAGGTAAGTCATTCTTATTTCTAGTTTTGTCAAAAAATGGAATTTAGGACGTATTTTGTTTATTGCCATACATTCTCCTATAAATTCTAAGTCCAACAAACTCTTTCAGAGTTTGGGCTACCTGTGGATGGGGCAACATTTCATGACAGGATGGACTATAATGGGGCTGCATTTTCAACACCCTCAATGTGACTGGAATTTACAAAGGTTCAGAAAGCAGATTCAGGGATACAAAATGACTAACTTGGAATCACACAGTTTACATTTGCCAAAAGTAGCTAACATTGGGCCTTTTGGTCATAGAAAAGACTATAAAAGGATTTGGGTGATCTGGTTGGCTAATTGTGCCAGATACCCAGTGCACCAAAAGGTTGACCCAAGTATCCCACAGGTTGTGAGGGTCACTTTGGTTTTTATAATCTCATAAAGTATCCATTCTTCTCACACTAAACTAAACAGCAACTTACCACTTAAAAATTAAAAAAAATCAACCATAATACAGTGAAACCTGTATTAAGCGGACACCCTCGGGGAATGCTGTAGTGTCTGCTTAATACAGGGTGTCCGCCTAAAACAGATTTCCACAGATGACGTCATATGAGGTGTCAAATGCCATTCAAATGAACAATGGAAACGTTTAGAATACTCAGGCGAGTGAAACAAGCTCTATACAAACAAAACGAAATAGAAAACAATACTGTACTGTGAAACTAATCAAATAAGCTCGCCAAGTCATGTTTTTTTAATGTGAAATGGAACAATTTGTGGGTGGCAATTCGAGGCAATCTTTCGCATTTCCAGTGTCTGATGTGTTGGGTGGTGGAATTTAATTACAAGTGTCCATTTAATACAGGTTGGCAACAATAGAAATGACCATGTCAGGTACTTTTTAAGTGTCCGCGTCCGCTTAATAGAGGTGTCCGCTTAATAAAGGTTTCATTTAAAGTTAATAAGGGAAATAAATTTGGGGACTTCGGCTAGTGTCCGCTTAATAGAGGGTGTCCGCCTAATACAGGTTTCAAAGAAAACAGAAATAGTTTATGTTGAGCCATAAATTGAACAACTGTCTGCTATCCCGGGGGGGGGGGGGTACTCCCTTATATGGCCTCCACAGGGATGTGCCGCTGGACAGGGTATGGTTTTGGCCCTCTCTGTCCTAAACAGGGTATATAGTTTGGCACAAGTCTGTCCTAAACAGGGTATGCAATTTCGTGCAAGTCTGTCCTAAACAGTGTGCATGATTTGTGCGAATCTGTCCTAATGATAAACAGGGTGTTTCATACATGATCGATTTTGTCTTAGTGCAAACGTTTGCAGATATTTAGTACGTCATCACCCAAAGCATCTACTGGAATACATATAAATGCTATTGTTCTTGGCACCTTTGTCTAGCTAAGATAAGTACAAGTTGACAGGTGTGCTTGATAACCTTGTCCCCGTCTGAGGGAGTTGTCCTATCAGGGTACTAAAGTTGAGGGTGATATCCTAAACAGGGTATGTGTTTCAAACCCTCAGCGGCTCACCTATAACCAAATATTGGTCGAGTACCCCCCCCTCCCTGGGCTGCTATCCTTTTAGCAAGCTTCGAATTAACTGAGCCATAATTACACAATGGTTGACTGTATTTGTACCCTCTTTGTAAACGTAACAATCATGTTTATATTGGGAAGTTCAGTAATAATAATCCAGATGGCCAAAACTTCCATATTTTGGCCATTCTTATTCTGAAGTATCCACCTTATTCTGAGCTATCCAAACAGATACTTCGCTATGAATAAGCTTTACACGGCAGTCACTGGGCAGTCGCAGTAGTGGTACTGTAATTAAACAGACATTGTTTGCTCCTTGCACTGAATTCTTACAAAAAGAACGTGAAAAACAACTAACCTCTATGTAGGCTTTGATCCATATTTTGGAGTAACCATTCTCATCTTAGCCTTTTTCAGTCTTCGTATACTTATCTCTTTGAACACAACAAGGTCGTAAAGAGTCGGAGCGATTTGCCGAAAAATAATCTTATTCAGTTTCAGTCTCCGAGCGGATACCTGATTTTGGAGTATCCATTCTAGTCACGACCATTTTGTGACCCCTTGCGTGACCACTAACAAGTTCGGCGAGTGCGCATTCCCGGATGTCGTCCCAAATTCCGGGAAATTCCCCAACAAAGAGACGACCTTGCGACGCACAATGAGGTGAAAACGACATGGCGAATCAGTTAAAATTTTTCCTTTTTAATTGTGACAACACTTATAACTTAGAAGTAGTGGAGAAGTTTTTGCTTGAACTTGAGGAGAAGTATGGTCTCAAATTCTCGATTGATCGTCTCACTTTTGCGTTACCGCTAATGGCTGAGGTGTGCGAAAAGACTTTACCCAAGCTGACGATGGACGTCGCTGTTTTTGTTGTTCATGCAAATGAATCTCGTCTCTCCATCAACGAAGACAACGCTGGTATTGGTTACGCGAGAATCTACCGAGCTTTGCTCCATAAAACAGGTGGGTTTCTGAATGTAGTTTCTTTAGTTTGTCTGATTCTGTTAGGGCCGTTGTTTTAAAGTGCAAACCACTTAATCATATAGTTCGTAAATTCCATGCTGTGGATCCCAAGTAGTAAATCGTAAGACATGCAACAGTTAACGCATAAATATCAAACATAAATAACAACTAAACGTATTGAAGGCACATGTCAGCTGACATATGCATGTAAAGGAAAGGCGGAAGTGCTATATGGCACCTTGTTTTTCTCGCTAAGTATTCAGACATTGCAGCTTCGCCATTCTGCGTTCACACATTTTAACTTCTTATTAATAAAAAAACTACTTCAATTGGGCTTCTGTAAAAATATCGGATGGGAAATGGTAAATCAGTGAAGAAAGCGTGTGAAGGGAGCAAACTCCATGAAGTACTTTCGATTTCGATCGTCACGAGGTCGCGCGTCACGGTATGTCAACCGAAAAAGGAGGAAGCATTTCTTAGAAAGATTGTCACAATTTCTTGTAAAATACTGCGGCTTAACTTTAGTGGCTGTAGTTTCAGCAGCCCCTTTTTCGAATATCCAACGGCCTGATATAATGAATACATTGTGACCGTAAACAAACATTGAGATCTGACTTAGGACGATGAAGATGGGCGCGACCATTCAACCCCAATTTCCGGTAATTTCGGTCCAAAACTCAATGGATCGGTGCGGTCCAACCAGAAAAGTTTCGAAAAAACTGGTCCACCTTTTGACGTGGACCACTTTTCCCGGCCGAACTGGTCGGAATTTTGGTTGAAAGGATCGCGCCCGATACCTGAGGATATCGCCACGGATCAACAGATCGTTCGAGCTATTAGATCGATGCCTGGATCGCCCTGATCGCCGGGCGGCCTCTGTCTGTTCAAGAGTTGATAGGCCGCACATCTTCACCGGCGTGAAACCTTTGAAAACCTTCTACATATTGCTCCATTGAGGAGAACTCTTTCAGGGATCTTACAGTTTAAAATTTGTACCATGATATAGCTTATATATAGCGGACCAAGACACGGCTCGGTACAGTTTATGTTCAGCAACGGAAAATTGTGTAAGTTGAGCAGAACCTTTTTTTTATGTACAACAGACAATTTGTTCAGTTCGCGCGTATTCCTGTTGAATTTGTGGCCCGTTTATGAGATTTGTCTACTCAAAAATATAATAATTTTTCCATAGCTGCTGTTATCTTAGGGTATCTGCTTTTAATATCTCCATAAAGTTTAGGTTTACGCGATCTCAGAGAACAATGTTCAGCTGTACACAGCACGTAGTCTTTAAATATATCCAGATCTAACACTGGTTTTGTGTATTTATCACGTCTTTAGTAGAAGCATGATTTAAATACATTATGATGCTGTGTCCTTTGAATGTCGTTTTGAAACTCAATCGCTTTGTAAATGTCTCTCGTAGTTTTAATATCAGAGGAGAGTATTTTAAAGCTCGATATTTTTCAATACCATTAGCATGTTGTTTTTTTACCAATCAATTGACTGGCTTCTTTGTGCCACTACAAAATGTTTGCAGTTAAACATAAGTTTACAAGCAAGACCGGCGGTTTCGTATCTTACGATTATCCTCAGTTGCTATGTGGTGGGATGGTTGAGGTGAACTCTGAACTATTCCGAGGGAAGAGGCCGACAACATTTTGCACCCGTCGGATGCAATCTTCTTCATCATCATCATCATCTTCTTCTTCTTCTTCTTCCTATGGATATACACCGGTGGATGAATGGGACTGAACGATCTATGGATCAGTTGATCTGTGGTGGATCGGTGTGGATCATTTCTGGTTAAATTGAAAGCCTCAGTATAACACTGGCATCATTACTTATCCACATACAATATAACTGAACAAATATTGCAAATCTTCTATAATGTCTCCTCTCAATTTGCCCCCTGCCGTTTTGAAAAATGAATTGTTATTAATCTCCGTTTTCTGTTATCTGATTTACGTTCTGTTTTACTTTATGTCGTTGCATGATTTCTGTTCTGGTGGATCTGCCGTGGGCTGATCAAAACTTGGCATATAGATATTGCTCAGTTTACATGACTGTCCACTATCACTTCTCTTTCAGATGATAACGTGCTGATCGTTCTAGGCGGAGACACTAATTACAAAGACGAAGAAGCACGGTCTGTCATCTCGCGCTGGGCAAAACGGAAGGTGGCTTCGCAGTTCCGAGAAGAATATCTGGACGGGAGGAAAAGCTTCATCTTCTCTTGGAATGAAAAACACCGACCGGTTCACGAGGAAGCAATGAGGCATTTTCTCGATCGCAGAAAGAGGGGATCCAAGTTTGAATACACACCTCCCAAACCCTTGCCGAAGCCCATAGAACCTAAAGTCCCTCGGCCCTTGCCAACGCCCATACTGCCTTTGGAGCCTCCAACAGCCAGTGCAGGCCAAGATCTGGGTAGAGAGGTAGGCTATAACCTCCATCTTACTATAAATTCTCCGATTAATCAATTCTTTCAACCCCAAAACAGCCACAATTAGGATTGCGTCTACAGACTCACCACCTCTAACACGACTCTATCATCCACTCTGTGAGTAAAAGGCTCTTTATTCATTGCTATGGTGGGTGATAAAGGAGTATACAGTTATTTCGAGCCGAGAAGGGTTGTCGCACGAGACAGTCCCAAAAGGTAACATGGGATATGATGAATACACTGTTCTTGACACTGTAGCTGTCGAACCTACTTTGTTTCTTTCCTTTAGCACTCGCAAAACGTACCTCCATGGCCTCTCGTGCCATTCTTTCAAATTTCTTCGAAGAACAGTGAACTCAGTAGTCACGACCAGTCTCATTCCTTTCACCTCTTTGTGGGTGACCAATCAACAGCTCACCCTCTGAACCACATTAAGATTATAGGGTGGATTAGGATTATTAACGAGATCCATGACATTATACAGCGATCATACGTAATGTTTATTGACTCCTCTCATTGGTGGGAAACAGTTCTTTTTTAGGTCTCCTTTTTCAGAGTATCTTACTGAAAGATCAGACGACGATAGGTGTTTGAAGAGAGTCCTCAGTTAGTATATAGTTCATAAAATTATACCTCATGAGAACTGTCTTTTGACTCCTCGCATAGTCGTCTTTGGTAAGATGTGACAACGAAATACTTATCCCGGACGACAAAGAAGAGGATAATGTACCCCGCCGAAGATCCTTCAGCGATCGGGATAAGACGAAAACTGAGTTGAGACATGACTTGGAGGAAGGCACCTATGGAGGTAAAAAGCTGTCTCAGTTTCTTTTTTAAGAATATCTGTAAGTATCCGATTTGTTTTACAAATGATTATTGGAGCCACCTGCCCGAGTAGTTACGTTATATCCGTTATTAATATCTATGCATTGTCACTAGCTTAATCATGTCTGTTGAAACGTAACGGCGCTGGTACATGAAAGTTCCTCGCAATGAATAACGCGAACATGAAATAACTAGATAACGCTTTAGAGGTAGCACATCTACATAGTGGCTTTGGCTTCACCTACCTGATTCCTGGTTGATTTGGAATTCTAAAATGTTGGTTGTAGAGGAATAAGGAAAACCGGAGTACCCAGAGAAAATCCTCTCGGAGCAAGGGAGAGAACCAACAACAAACTCAACCCATGCACATATGTTGCCGACACCGGGATACACCGGGATTTGAACCCGGGTCACATTGGTGGGAGGCGAGTGCTCTAACCACTACAGTTGCTCCAATGCCCGCTTGCTCCCCTCCCTAGTTCCAGATCGTGGGCTTTTTACTTCCCCGTCCTGACTTAGATGTTTCACAATTCCGTCAAAAAATACTCCATAACGTGAAAATCACTCAAAATGATCCATTTGAGTGCAATGGACACACTACAGAACCCCGCGGTACAGAGATACAGGGGCCGAACTATATATTCAGACGGTTTATCTAATAAAATGAAAAGTGCTTACGACCAACAAAACAGATCGTAACACAAGTGAACCTTTGACATTGCAGCAATACGTTCTGGTCCAACACCGGCCTCTTACCAAGGAGACACTATTCTACTGCAGGCAAAAGTGCGTTTTGGAAAGATTTCTTACGAAGATGGTGATGTCCTGCAGAGAAATCCAGGATGGCGACCTTCAGAGAAACAGAAGGCAGATGTCATGGAGGACCGGAAGTCTGATGCTGTCCGTATAGTGACGTTTTACCAAACTAAGGATGGGTCAGTTACTTATGAGTATGACAAGCCAGCACCTCCTGATCGCCAGGGCTGCTGTTACTTGATTTGGAGATGTATCGTCGCGTGTTTTTGGGGCCTTGTTCACTATCTCCGGCTGTTTTGTAGGTGGTGCTCTGACAAATGTAATGGCCGTTAACTTTAAGAAAATCAGCCCGTAAAATCGCTCCAAATTTTCCCGCAAAAAGCATCAAGTATGATATAATGATGTCAAGAATTGAAGTAATGTAAAGGAAACAATAAAATCATAAAAACCCTCAGGTGAAGTCAGAACTTACTGGGTAGAGAGAAGGATCGCAGCCATAGGAACGAGAATGACCAGGGCAATGTAGCTGCCTACCAGGTCGGCGCCTTGCTAATTTACGGGTTAAGAAAGTAATTCTAGAAATGCAGGCTGAGCGTGCCTCCTACAATCATGTAGAACTACTTAGAAAGTTGTCAATAAAAATCAGTCTTTGGATAAACTTTGCACGCTTACTCTCCTCATCACGCGCCCCGCTCTGGATGGGAGATCATGCCCTAGAAAACAGAACGGTTTGGTAGTTTTTCCACCTTCAAAGAGGCTCCTTATCGGTGGGGTGCGGTATACTAATTGTTAAGGTGAAGCTAAGAAAAACAAGCTGAAAAGATCCTGATCTCTTGAAAAATAATTTTTTTCTGACCAAGTGCCGACTAATTCACTCGTTTCACGAGAAACCGTAAAAAAATCTTCCCAGGAAAGAAAGACGCAGCTTAAAAACAAGTAAATATACAGGCGATGCTGGCACCACCAGAAGACTTTTTTTACGGACTATACTTTCTTTTACTCTTTCTAATTGTTTTCTCCACTTTTTCTTAAATATAAGGCTGATGTTCTTAACTTCTCTTCATTCGTATGGCAGTTTCCTGCTAAGTTTATGTCCAACAGGAAGTACGTTGAAAAACCAAAAACCTCGTCCAGTGATTCATCAATTACTATACTGTTAACCTGTTCAAGTCGAACATCACGATACTCGAAACTCCAGTGAAACTTTGACATATTTTTCACTCCTTCCGCGTCCCGTTGTCAAGAGATTTTCATTCTCTCTCGCTATTGTATAGATCGTGTCGCGTGAGCAGAAAAGTTGCGTGACTTCTGGAAATCTGCCCCTTTTGTGTGTATTTTAACAATTCAAGAGCAAAGAGCGCTCTTCGTTTTCCGGTTTTTCCAAGAAATTTTTAAACAAACAGCTTCACTTTAAGACCTGTCTACTTTTCATAGCAGTGAGACGGCATGGCGTATCAGTCCAGCGCTTTTTACCTTTTTAACTGTGACAATACTTATAATTTAGAGATAGTAGAGAGGTTTTTGCTTGAAGTAGAGAAGAAATATGGCTTCAAAGTTACGGTCGATCGTCATTATTTTAAGCTGCAACAAATGACTGATTTGTGCGAGAGAACGTTACCTCAACTGGTAACAGATTTCGCTGTATTTGTTGTACATGCAAATGAATCTCGTCTCTCCATCAACGAAGACAACGCTGGCATTGGTTACGCAAGAATCTACCGAGCTTTGCTTGAGAAAACAGGTGGGTTTCTGATGAGTATACTTCGACTCTGCCTTCCACTGATTCAGTCGTAGTTCCATAATTTAATATAGTACATTTTCCACTTAATAAAACGTTAAACGCGACAATGCCCACCATAGTTTTAAGCATAAATATCGCAACCGGAAAATACGCGCTTCACATACGTACAGGAAGAGAAAGAGAAGGCCGGGAGTGGATCGGAAGAGCGGTGTACTTACGCGGATCAGTGTATTCGCTGTAACAATTTTAATCCAAACAAAAAGAAAAAAAAGAAAGAAAAACGGTTTAATCAGTAAATGAAGCATAAGATAGAAAACTCCTAGAGCACTTTCGATTTCGAGAGATCACGCCGAGGTCACGCCGGTGTCACGCGTAAAAGACGGAAGTATTTGGTGGAAAAATTGTTAGATTATAGAAATCAAAATCAACACAGCTCGCAGCACTTGGGCAACAGAACCGGAAGTTTTTCCTCAGAGAATTTTTCGGAAATGGTACATTACATACATAAATTGATCCCTCCGGTGCTTGTCCGCAAATCTCCTCTCCCCTCTTCCCATGACAAGCCCCTCCGCATTAAAAACCCTACAACAACAACAATTACGGTGTATCAGGTAAAGGTAAAAGGTGAAGCCTGCAATCGAACCAAGTGTCAGAGCTTATCTCGGTTTCTGTAGCATGAGGCAACGAGGAATATTTCTTTTTCCCTGGACGAGGGACTCCAGGGTGGTAGCCATCGAAAAATGTAAAATTCTCTCTAGTTGGCTGTAATAATAGTGGTTGCTGCTGTACCTCGCTGGAGAGGGAGGCACTGTGACTACCGTGGTTCAAAAGGTGGATAACGCAGTCCGTTTTCCTAATACTTATCCGGTAGATAGGAATTTATTCGGTACATAACAACAACAACATTTTATTTCAACAATGTGGCTTTTAAACGCTAATATAGCAAATGGACTTTGTAAAAAATGTTAATAGGATAATAAAAACTGAAAAAAATACACTATATTATAGATAACGGTATCCAATATTTGAACAACCTAGGTCTAGGGAGAGTAAAGTGTCTCAACCAACCCAATAAACCCGGTCCTCTGGATACGGCGTGTCCAAAAGCACTGAGCAGCGGCGCCTCCCTTAAGGTGTATCAAAACGCTACAAACAGTTCGATTACTTTTATTCCGCTCCTTGTTTCAGATAACAAAGTGTTGATCGTGATAGGCGGAGACAGTAACTACCGGAATGAAGACGAAAAAGCGCGGTCTGTCATCTCGCGCTGGGCAAAACGGAAGGTGGCTTCACAGTTCGATGAAGAGTATCTGGATGGAAGGAAAAGTTTTATCTTCTCCTGGGATGAAAAACACCGACCGATTCACGAGCAAGCAATGCGGCATTTTCTTGATCCCAGCAAAAGGGGATTCACATTTGAATACACACCTCCCACGCCCTTGCCAAAGCCCATAGCACCTGTGGTCCCTCAGCCCTCGCGGAAGTCTGACACACCTAAGGTCCCGGCTCGACCAGCAATACCTTATTCGAGACTAGAGGTAGGACTTTAAATACATCTCTCCTCCACATACCGCCGCCGAGTGTCTTCTCTTTGTTGAAGAGGCTGTTTGAAGTCCTCACTAGGAATTTCTTCCTCATAACTGCTGACTTGAACGGGAGAGAGGGTTATGACACAATCGACGGCACAAAACGTAGGCAGCCCTACCAAAAGTCAAAAAGTTCTTCTTTAATTTATTTTAGTTTTCCCTTTCGCCTAAGTTAAAGATAGAGCATCGAAACGCACCTATTTCACTACGAGTCTCATAGCAAATAACATCACGGCTTAACTGACAGACCACCAATAACATCGCGACGTAATTGACCAATCAGATCAATAACCAGGGTATAATAATATATAGATCTAGCCAGGGCTTAAAGCGAAGCTCACGTTAATAAATTAATAATTTAAATAAAACAATAAACATTAATTAGTTAACTTTAAGGTACATTCATGAGACTTTTGAGGGAAAGTGATTCCTTAGAGAAAAAATAATTTGACAGTCCAAGAGTGAATAAATTTTACATCGAGTAAATAGTCCTCGGTTGCAGCCAATTTATACGTTGCATTCCTCTGTCTAAAAAGAAGGCCAAAATAAAAAGAAATCAGGCCGGTCTTTTTGTGTTTCGAAAAAGATTTGTGTTCTACAGGTTTACTTTACAAGTAAATCTTGGCGACAAATCTGGTGGTGTGCATACTGAACAAGTCTTTTAAAAATACTTTTTATCAGTGTTTTTACACATAAGGTCTAAGGAAAACAGTAGTATGCCTGTGTGCCTGTTTTTTATCATACAGACCTCGAGCAAAAGTTGTTCCTCCTTGCCTTACTTAAACCTATAATTCTGCAGTTTTTCACAATTTTGCAAGACAAATTGTGCTCATTCAATATCCAAGACGATCGAAGCACGCGCTTCCTTTGAGTAAAAATTTACAGAATTGACCACATTATAAAACGTTTTCATGAAGAGAATTTTCCGTAATACCGGGACTGTTAAGTCGGAAAAATCTGTTCCTATGTAATAAGCAGGATAGCAATTATGGGCTTTTAGTGAAAACGATCAAAAAATTCCCAAAATCACCTATACGGCCAGCCGGACTGGTTGTCACATTTGTCAAGCACCAAATGTGCCGTCCGAACTGTCGGAACGGTGATTTGATAAATGCAAATTTTGCATTTAAGTATCTCTACAGACACAAACAAAAATTCGCAAATAAACGACTCTGTATATATACAGAGTGAAACTTCGTAATTAATTAATTGCGAGTTTTTTACTCACTCATATATACGAAGCAAATTTTTGCAATTAGTTAATCGCGAGGTTTTACTCTAAATACATATTAATTACACTGATACAAATCTCGCACTTAACTATTTTTCCTTAACTGCGAAATTTCTCTGTTAACATGAAAGAACACAAATCTTGCACTAAACAATTTTTCCTTAACTGCGAAATTTCTGTCTGTTTATAGTACAAGACTCAAATCTCGCACTTAACTATTTTTCCTTGACTGCGAAATTTCTGGCTGTTTATAGTAAAGAGACTCAAATCTCGCAGTTAACCATTTTTCGTTAACTGCGAAATTTCTCTCTGTTTACATGAAAGAACTCAAATCTCGTACTAAACAATTTTTCCTTAACTGCGAAATTTCTCTCTGTTAATAGTAAGGAACACAAATCTCGCACTTAACTATTTTTGGCTAACTGCGAAATTTCTCTCTGTTCATAGTAAAAAACACTAATCTCGCACTTAACTATTTTTCCTTAACTGCGAAATTTCTGGCTGTTTATAGTAAAAGAATCAAATCTCGCAGTTAACCATTTTTCCTAAACTGCGAAATTTCTCTGTTTACGTGAAAGAACACAAATCTGGCACTAAACAATTTTTCCTTAACTGCGAAATTTCTCTCTGTTAATAGTAGATCATAGTAAGAAACACAAATCTCGCACTTAACGATTTTTCGTTAACTGCGAAATTTCTGTCTGTTTACATGAAAGAACACAAATCTCGCACTTAACTATTTTTCGTTGACTGTGAAATTTCTGTCTGTTTATAGTAAGACTCAAATCTCGCAGTTAACTATTTTTCCTTAACTGCGAAATTTCTCTCTGTTTACATGAAAGAACTCAAATCTCGTACTAAACAATTTTTCGTTAACTGCCAAATTTCTCTCTTTTCATAGTAAAAAACACTAATCTCGCACTTAACTATGTTTCCTTAACTGCGAAATTTCTGTCTGTTTATAGTACAAGACTCAAATCTCGCACTTAACCAGTTTTTCCTTAACAAGTTTATTTTAAATTAAATATAGCTTACAAAGCTTGTGCCTGCAATTTTAATAGTGAAGGCTATTCGAGGCAGGTACAAGAGAAAAAAGAAAATTCTATGAATATATTTAACGAACAATCCTAGAAGCAATCTATTGTAGTTTGTCGTGTGGTTTATAGCCAGATTGAGACAGGAAGGCAGACTGTACTTCATAGGGAGGACACTTTACACAAATTAGATATTTCCCGACACAGACCAATTTGTGGTCTTTTTCCAGCTGAATGTCAACTGGAATGTCAGTCTTTCATGCTCTGTTATTTGCGAAACGTTTTCCCCGTTTTTGCTGTTGGATGAGTGGCAACAAGCTCAACTCCAAAAATGCTAGAAAGCTTCAGTATCATGGCCATCAATTTGTGGGTACTTAGTACTTAGGAAAAGAGACGAAAAACACAGCTGAACACGTCTTCATGAAGAAAATCTTTCTTCGGGCGTGCGTAAATAAAGATTTTGTTCTTAGCAGCTCAATAGGACTTATACAAGTCAAGCACGCGCGCTAGGCAATTTATGAACCTCGAGTTTTTCCTCTTTTTGCTTTCCAAATCAAGTTAGTTTAATGGTTAAACTTACGTACGCATAAGTAGACTTCAAACAGAGAATCTGATAGTAAATCAGTAGTAAATTAAATATCTACAAGAGCCATAATGGGACCCATTATGACACACTACCGATCTCTTTGAGAATCTAATGAAAAAATGAAGCGGCCCCGCCGATGTTGCTGTTGATAATTGCCAGACAATGGCTGGTGAAAATTGCTTGTCCCCAGTTCAAGAATTCAGTTGTTTCAACTTACAAAGGATTTTTTTTTTGGTAAAGAAATCAGAAAAGCCCAGCCATTTTCAGGAATGCTTTGCCCCGCTCACCTGGAATTTCGGACATCTCCCTCTCAAGTTTGTCTTTTGTCAGTGTAAAAGGGTCTGCAACACTTTTTAGTTACGTGAAGCATGATTAGGCGATTTATTTCTGGTGAATCATGATTTAAAAATTTTTTATTAGTGATTAAAATCACGATTTTAAAATTTTTTCGTTAAAATCGTTTCCCACTAGGCTCGAAAGACCAGACTCGAGAAGACGGAGGAAATTGAACCGACATGTCCACGTGAACAATTTTTTTATTTCAACATGACCTACTGTAGGTGAATGAAGGGCCGACATCAACCGATTCGAAACGTGATTCGTGAACCATTTTGTTTTGCGTGATGAATTTTCAGCAATTGCATTGCTTTAAAAATGTACGCAATGTTTTCGAATGACTGTGGTTTGGTTTTGACAGGACATGAAGTTTACACGGATCGATTCACCCAAGACAGAAATCGCCGGTCTTTCTATAGATCTTTGTCAGCTATAGTAACCCAGAAAATGCTTACCTGCGAGATTTCTGTTCCTTCACATCAACAGAGACATTTTGCAGTTAATGAAAAATGGTTAACTACGAGATTTGTGTTTCTTCACGTAAACAGAGAGACATTTCGCAGTTAACAAAAATGGTTAAGTTCGAGATTTGCATTCCTTATTATAAATCGAGAGAAATTTCGCAGTTAACGAAAAGTGGTTAACTGCGAGATTTGTGTTTCTACGTATTGACAGAGAAATTTTGCAGTTAACGAAAAGTGGTTAACTGCGAGATTTGTGTTTCTACGTATTGACAGAGAGAAATTTTGCAGTTAACGAAAAATGGTTAACTGCGAGATTTGTGTTAATTTCTACGTATTGACAGAGAGAAATTTTGCAGTTAACGAAAAATGGTTAACTGCGAGATTTGTGTTTCTGCGTATTGACAGAGAGAAATTTTGCAGTTAACGAAAAGTGGTTAACTGCGAGATTTGTGTTTCTACGTATTGACAGAGAGAAATTTTGCAGTTAACGAAAAATGGTTAATTGCGAGATTTGTGTTTCTGCGTATTGACAGAGAGAAATTTCGCAGTTAACGAAAAGTGGTTAACTGCGAGATTTGTGTTTCTACGTATTGACAGAGAGAAATTTTGCAGTTAACGGAAAATGTCGAGAAAATGGTCAAGTGCGAGATTTATATTCCTTTATATAAACCGAGAATAAATTCGCAGTTACCTGAAAAATGGTTAACTGCGAGATTTGTGTTTCTTACTATAGACAGAGAGAAATTTCGCAGTTATATCGACAAATGGTTAATTGCCAGATTTGTGTTCCTTAATATTAGCAGAGAGAAATTTTGCAGTTAACGGAAATGATTAACTGCGAGAGAGGTTTCTGTTCCTTCATATAAACAGAGACAAATTTCGCAGTTGATGAAAAATGGTTAGCTGCGAGATTTGGGTTTGTTACTATAAACAGAGAGAAATTTCGCAGTTAATGACAAATGGTTAACTGCGAGATTTGTATCAGTATATATATATATGCATAGTATTTTTTTTACTAATTTTACTTTTCACTGAGATAATTAATTGCGAAAGTTTGTCGTCTATCTGTAGACATACTTAAATGCAAAATTTGCATTTATATCTACTCCCCTGTCGGAACCGTTTGAATTCGAATGAACATTAATAGAGTTAGGCTTCAATATGATAGAGAACTTATTATGCTTAGGTTTTAATTCCCCTTATTTATCGTTTTGTTTATGTGTTATCTTTAAAAGCGTTTGATATTTACGCGCTGCATTTTGCGTTCTCTTGTTTTGTTATATGTTCGACTGAAAACAACCTGCGCAGCGATTAAATTGAGAAAGAGACTACTAACAATCAGTAAAATACACATAACTCGGTGAAACATGTACAGAGACAACAATTTTCAATCAGGAAGATAAGTTTGGAGAGTAAAGTGTCTCTGAAAATCATGTGTCAGGTAAGCATAAGCTCATAAACTTCAAAAACCTTGCGGATTTCAGCCGGCTTCCCGGTGTTTGCTATACTTCAACTTGAACCGCGAGGCAAGCATATCGCTCAGGGCTTTCTTTTTACAGCCAAAATCATAACTAAATAAATTGTACTCTTAGGAACGTTTTCTTTGTATTTGTGATAAAAAGATGTTAAGACTTTTTAAAAATTTGCAAACTTATGTCAAACCTGATTGTAGGTCAGATCATCGTCTTGTGCATAAACTAGGCGCAAAAACTACGATCGACTTTAGAAAACCAGAAAAAAAAACATCAAATACAATAATAACTCAGGCTTACCAGTTAAGATGCAACTCCTGAAGGCCATCAGAATCGCTTGAGACTTTGTTGAACCCTCTTAATAATACGCATTAAGCAAGGGGAAATGAGATCCATCCGAAATCGGATTTCAGATGACTTTGACAAGCGGCGCATTTCTCAACCAAAAAACTAATAAACAAACCAGCCACGAATAACTTAAGAATCTTGCCTGCAGCTCTATTTCATTTTGTACATCCAAAGGAAAAAAACAGTTAAAAGTCAAAAGCAGTCAAAAGCAACTTCCCTATCTGTAAAAACTGGCTTAATTCTCGCGTCCGAGGTCAGTTTGAAATTAAAAGTTTAATAGTGCGGCTCATAAACACATTTTTCTATTTCCCATGCATTAAAAAAATTGAACTTGAGCCTGCAATCATTTGAAAAGTAGTAACTTGTCAGCGGATAACTTCGAAAAGAACTCGAATTCAGTGGGCCGATACCTGAGCCCGCGATACAGTCAGGTGATGATGGTCAGCGGATTCTCTAGTATAACAGCTTTCAATTGAACTTTTCGAATAAACGGACTGTTGACTGCGAGTGTGAGTAGGACATTTCAGTCTAGGTTGTAATGGAGGATTGATGGGGCGAAAGGTCAGATCGTGTATTTGAACAGCCCTGGCCGGTAAAAGCGAGGTTTCATTTCATTTTCATTTTTATGTCGGTAAGTGTGACATATTATATCAGCTTAGATGTAAGGGAAAAACGACTGGCCTTTCATCTGAGCCCGCGAGATGGTCATGTGATTACTGTCAGCGGATGTCTGATTTTGACATCTGTTAATTCATCCTCATACGGATGGCTTACAAAGTGTTAATTTCTCCAAGATCTAACGTGACATTTAACATCAGCTTACATAAAGGGTGCACGGGTAGGCGTACGGTACGCCATAACCAAATTTTCTCGGATGGATAGTTTACCAAATTTTCTTACCCATGGTGCTCTGCTGATGCGCGCTTCGCGCGCGGGAGCTCCGCTATAATACCATCAACTGACGTGATACAACTCACTTTGACTCTGAAGATGACTACCGCATAGGTTGTCGAAACGTCAGTCACTGCTGTCGACAACAACAGTCCTATTCAGGGTAGCCTGCAGTGCAGGCGTATTTAGGGTGGGCGAAACCCTGTTCGTGTTCGTAATATTGTTGTAGTTGCCATCTTTGTCTCCTCCTCTCTTCGGGAAGTTTTAACATGGTGCTTTCGCGAGCAAATTGCGAGTTCAAAGAAAACGGCTGCACTGCAGGCTATATTCAGGACTATACGTTCACCCGGACGATCAAATTCAACCTCCTTTTGAAATTACGTCTGGGTTCAAACCTTTCACATATATTTTTTTCTGACAATATCAGTACATATGCAAGAGATCTCATGTGAAGTAACAAATGGTCATATACGAGAAAAGCTCTCCACTTATTCTCCAAGGTGAATTTTTGTTGAGATCAATATGGAGAATCTGAATATATCAGTTAGAGCTTACAGCTGAGCTTAAGTAGTTAAAAGTGCTTGCCCTTCAGTTGTGTTTGATTTCGCGGCACCAGGACTAGATTGAAGCACGGATAGTGCTCTCTGTTTCTTAAGTCGACTTATTTAGCTGACGTAAACTAAGAAGATTTCGTCAGGTTAGTCTATTAATAGCTAACAGCGTATGAAATAAATATTAAAAGCATTGCATCGCATTAATTGCTTTCTTCAGGACGATGAAGAAGAATCACGAACCCACACTAGGGAAGCACCAACACGTAAGTTGAGGGATGAACCGCCAAAAGGCAATTATGAAGGTAAACGTTCCCTCGATGATTTGAAAAGTTCAGTGTCACATCATCTATGTTTGGAGATCAAGAAGCATTATAAGAATTGACTCCTACGTTTTCCCCACGGGAGTGTCTCGAATGCTTCCGAGAGGGTAGCAAAAGGGGAAGTCATGATCCCGTTTCACGTACAAATTTTGACAAATTTCACGTATCGCGTGGAATATAAACCAATTTTCAAGAGTCATGAATCTCACCCGTTAATCAAAGGGGATAGGAACCGAAACACAGTCACCATGAATCCTAATTCGCATTATATTTGACGATCGCAATTTCTCCCCACTTCTCCTCTCAGTAGAATGTCGGTGGGGCCATCTTAAAGGCCGTTAACGAGCAGTCGCGCATGTGGGAAATTCGTGTTTCCAGCGGTCTTGCGTTCAAATCAACGTCCCCGATGCGACTTCTTTTCATGCCTCAGCGAAAGAAGCCTGCGTGGCAGGCGCAAGTTAGTTTTTTTGGTTAGTTTTGATTTACTCCTTTTCTCTCCACAAGTGCGCACACGTGTCCTCGAAATTTCTCCCTTCGCTCTAACAAACCCCCGCCGATGCCTTCTGTGCAGGCTACAGCGACTGTGCCTATGGCCTTTCGTAGGGGGCAATTCACTCAGTTTAACACGAAAACAAACAAGACTTGCCGAAGTGGACGATAATTATCCCAAAGGTCACTGGTCACGTGCAGTTTTAAGGGTCTGGTCTTTAGGTAGTAATTTTTAACCAAGACAAAAACGTAATACATGCGCAGAGAATAATACCAGTGGCCTTGTTTAATCCCTCTTTCTTATTTCAATGATTTTCACGAAATGCGACAAAATATTCACTAGTCCCGCACATCACGGATCACGTTCCTATTTTGGGAACTTTGACGCGTCACGCACTAAATTTGGGCCTAATCAAGCCTCACACGTAAACCCTATGCTACCCTCTTCCTAAGCGTTTGAATCCCCGACCCTGTGTAGGGCAAAGAGAAACCTGAAATTATATCTACTCTGGCTTTAGAACCCTACTTGGCTAAGGCAAGGAAAACAAAACACAAGCAACCATCTTCTTTGCCGCGACTGCTCACGATTCTGAATGTTTCGGAGGATCAAATTCAGAAATCGCTTTCTTTTCATATTGATACATGCATATGGCAGATTACAAATGATGAAATGATTTCTAGAGTAAAGTAATGACAACTTGTGATTAATCTTTGCACTCCTCATTTACGGTGGTAGCAATGTGATCTTAGGCCTTCACGACTTAATTTCACATACAAAATGACGGATTAAGTACTAAATATAGCACAAGTATACCTCTTCTCTTTGAACGCGTTACCCAACCCACCCCTCCTTACTGAACATACGGTTATACGCCTTTTGGGCGTAAGTATCTTGAATGGGCCCTTTGCAGCTCCAATCACAGGAGACACAACCACCCTGCTGGAGGTATGAGAAGCAGTGGGGCATTAAAAACAAAGAGATAACATTTTTAAAGCTTATTTCTTTCCTTTTCAATTTCCCTTTGTGTTGTTTTCCCTCCAGAAAGGGGTTTTTTCACTTCGGTGGCTGTTTAGCTACAAAGGGTTAAATGGTGGGGCTAAGCCAGCCTTGTTTCCACATAACCAAGGCTGTACTTACGAATTTTCAGAAGGTCTTTTTGTATTTAGTGGCTAAGATTCTGGTTAGAGTGTACCTTTACAACTAAAAATAGGTGCAGTGTAAAACGTAGTAACCTCAGCTACTAAATAGGTCCGACTGAACTCTGAATCTTTCACTATTGCAGCTATGCGTCCAGCTGCCAGTGGAACAGCACCAGCTGTTTATCCAGCAGGGACCAGGTCACTGCATGCACACAATCGTGGAACAATTCAAAGACATCATGGCTGCTGTCCGTGTCATTGTCAATTACTGTAAGGTTTTTTCCACGCTTAATGGAGGGCCGTGTTGCACTCTCTTCGCTACAATTATAGAAAAAATGCTGTGAAAAGCTATGCCGGTTGCCAGTGGTTGCTAACTTACAACCAAAATTTTAGTTCATAGAACCCTACGGAATTTATTCTCATAAATGCCCTATCAGAACAAACAAAAATACCCCAAATCCCCAGCCATCTGGCTCCGGTTGTTTAAAAGCTGGATAGCGCTATCCACCGGATAAATCACTCTCCAGTGGATAAATATTAGGGAAACCAACTGCTATGTCGAGTGGATAGCTCTATCGGCCTTTTAAACAACTAGAGCCAGGTGGCTAAATGTAATGACCAGTAAGAAAGGTGAATGTTTAGTGACGGAAAGTATTTTAGTCCAACAAGTCTAGCAAGCACAGTGATCTCTCAAAGGTAATCAAACTCATCGCTTGATGAAGACATCGACTTGACCAGAACTACTTGGTGGAAACGTCGAAATCAATGACAGAGTGCGACAGACCTATCAGAAAATATTTTATTTAGCCAGATTTCTTTTGCCAATTTCATACCGCAGCTGAATCTCATGTTTATGTCGTTTGTTAGGCCCCACCATAACTACCCCTTGTGGGACCTTCCAAATTCGTTTTCTTAAAGTGTACCGCACAACTCATAAATATAGGGAGTGCAAACATATTAATTTGGGTAGCAATCCTCTCTGTGTTGAAGCGGTGGAGAATAAAGCTTATCGAAATTTGGGGCAGCAATTTACTATTAACAGATATGCACGAGAAACCTCTCAGTAATTTATGCGGCGACAACTCCCAAAGAAAAATAATTGCTTTTGCGGTGTGCTAATAATGCGTTGATAAAGGTAGGCTAATTTGGATGAAATTTTTAGGCAAGTACAGGTTTACGCGGGTTCAGATTATTGTGTATAATTGCTCGTCCACACATAGGGCTCACAAGATCCCTTTGGTAGCCTCCCTTTGGCGATTATTAGGTGATTATTGACTGTTCGTGTCGTAGACTTGAAAGAATTTTGAAAAAGCAAGACGGAGTGTACATGAGAATTTTTTTTTCAGTAGTCAGTCATAGACCTATTCGGCTAACTCAATGTTGTACCCAATTCAAACCCTTTGGGAATAAAACGTTTTGTTTCAGCAATTTCCACATCATTTAAATGTCTTAACCCCGGGGGATTTGAATTGGGTACAACATTGAGTTAGCCGAATAGGTCTATTCTCTGAATGAGTCTGAAAAGTCAAGCCGTGCCTGAGAAATATTGGATAGGAAAAACAATAAAGGAATTTTCACAGCTATACAGTGTGATTTGCTTCATTACTCTTTTCTGTTCGCTCTGTTGATTCCTTTTTCATCCCAGCCTCGTCCCAATGGGCCTCTCGGTTATCAAAATGGTGGCCTTCTAAAGACCCTCTGATCCGACCACGGCCAAGTGAGGTCATTAGCTATTTGTGATTTAACTGGGGACGAGGTTGGCTTATAGATAGCTGTATTCCGCGAAAAAGCGGAAGAAACTCGACGTATGTATTTAACAAGTCTGTCTAACAAGTCTGTTTGAATGTATGAAAAATAAATATTTCTCAGAAAGGGTATTGTTTGTGTCGGACAATTCCAAAAGAGCCCAGGCTTTCTTGATGAATTTGTCGCTTTAGTATTTCATTTCTGGACAGCAAATTCACAACAAAACCGTGGGATGATATACTTCTGGGGTAATTAAAAAAGGAGGGTCAGCTTATTGACAGAATATTAAATTAAAAATACAAAGTCGGGAAGTACGAGAAATTTAACGATGCCCTTCCCGGGGGAAATGGATGGCTTTCGACTGAATATATGAATATAGTACTCTTTGGAATGGCGGGGTCGAGAAAATCATCTCTGATTAATACGATCTTCAAATCCTTGGCTCTTGCTCAACCTGCAGTGATCAACCATACTGGTAGAGAGAGTCCTACCTCAAGACCTGAAACAGGAGGGTTTTTTACCTTCACGAAGTGTAGAGCTAGGTGTAAAATTCACTTTAAACGGTCTAGTATTTCCTTGATATTTCTCGGAATAATTATAGTAAACACACTAACACACCGGTGTAGTTTACGGGGCTGTTATATCTGAATTCGGCTGTGGTCTCGAATGTTCGTAATAAAAATAAGCGGAACCTGTTTTCAGGCACTTAGCAGCTTTAGAGTTACGAATCACAATTTGCACGGATTGATCTTAGATGGAACCGAACGTTCATATGTACCCACCCCATTCCCCTGGAGTTCACTATCCCCCCCTCAAAGCTTTCATGCGCAATATCATGTAAACCATTCCGGCACAGTCCCCAGTTTTCTTGGAAAAGTGACGCAGTCGCTTTGTGGTTGAATTGACTGTTTTTATTGATTCCACAGTTTCTCAAGGTAGAAAAGATGCTAAGACAGAGAAAGATCCATCTTTTTAACTGTGATCAGCTCTACGAGCTCAGTATCATCGAGAATTTACTCAACTCCTCGAAACCGAAACTCGCCTTCGATTTCACAGTGGAGTGTCACTACTTCTCCCTTTCTGAAATGGCTGAATTGAGCGAGAAAGTTATTCCCGCACTGCAGATGGATTTTGCTTTTTTCGTCGTTCACGCTCACGAGTCACGTCTGTCGATAAACGATGGCCGTGGTTACACCAAGGTATACAGAGCTCTATTGCAGAAAACAGGTAAGAATTTCAAACGCGACCTGCATACAGTATAATGTCATTGCAAGTGACCTTTCACGGATCTTTGTGCCCGGCTATGTGCAAAAAGGTATGAAGGACCAACAAAAACTTTCGACTAATGTTTTTGTAGTCAATATTAATCGATTAATGTGACGCTCAGCAATATAAATGAGCGCTCCCTAAAGGATTCTTGACGATGGCTATTATATTTGTGACTAAATAACAATTATTCACCGAAGTGGAGGTGACTAGTATCAGGTATTTACCGAGGCCGCGAAGCGGCGAGGTAAATATCCAATGCTAGCCACCGACACTGAGGTGAATAATTGTTTTAGTATATACTAAAACAGTGAGATAATTGAGCACAAAATGATGATTTTTAACTAATTTACTGTTGCCAACGATCACAATTTTAGCGCGCGATGACCGAACGGTCGCGGTCGTCGCTTTGTCTTAGCGACAAATAAAACTTTTGAAGGCGTTTGTTTAGCTCTTGCGGGGAAGTTTCTTCAAAAGGAGTTGTGAATTCTGTTTGTATTTAAAATAATTCTGTAAAAAAGATTATTAAATTTAGTTTTAAGCTTATTTATGTCTCCTCCCCGGTTTACTGAAACACTAACAATAAACCCCCCTTTACTGCCAACAGCCGAGCTTTGTTTGCTAGACGCCTAACTTAGGAAACAAAGAAAACCGAGACTGTGGTCTGGGATTAAAAAACATGGCCAAGTTAATGGCCGGTTTTATTAAAATCTGTAAAATCATCTTATCAATGTTAAAATATGAAATAATGTTTACGAATTTATAGGTCTAGCAAAGGTGAGGGCCAGAAGAAAAAGGCCACGGGTCGCTCCTAAGCGGCCCAGCCCCACCCGAAGGCTGTTGGCGAAAAGGAGGACGAAAACACAACGCCTGTTTGTGTCTTCAAGTACTAGTATCTAAAATTGTTCGTAAACTCGGAGTTCTAATATAACGAAGAAAAGCGCTGGATTGCCAGCGACCTAGCAAGCGAATTTGGGAGTCTGAAAACCCCTTGGCAGATGCCCAGCTGGCAGCGCCAATGCGAAAACTGTGCACTGGCTTTATATAGCTTTGTGTCTAAATTACAAAATGTAAGTGCTGCGTTAAGTCGCTCAACAAAATAGGATCTAGTAATCGGACTTCCGTCGGGCCAACAAAAAAGAGGGCCGGATACCGACCCTCGCACAGCTAAAAAGTTTAAGATCAACTGAACTGGACAGCATGACCTTTCAGGATAGATAAAAATAGCAAAAGGTGGCCCAGAATTCTTATGCTTGTAGTTATACAAGGTAAGTTGCAGTGCCTGAATTCGGCCCTGAGCATCAACCAGTCGGTCTAGTTGCGAAAGATTAATGATATTGGTAGTGTTGCCTCGAGAGGCTGTTAACTCCCCAATGCGGAGAAAAGCGAAAAATGCCAAAGCACACATGGCAGACATGAGACGAGACTGGTAATGTGATGAAAGGCAATGCTCGAAAGCTCTAATTAAGTTCCGTAATACTGGTAAAGTAATAGGTAACCTGACATCATTGACGGGAGTTAGTTTCCGATAACCCTTTAAAATTTGTATAATAAGTGGCGTCTCAGTAGGATCAGCGACACCAGCAAGTTTATGAACGTAACTAATAGCAGAAATGTAAGTGGTTACTGACGAAGAAGAATACCTCCTAGAGTATAGATGCGCGATAAAAAGGGCCAGTATGGCCGGTTGAAGAGGCAAATTAATCGGCATATCACCTAAATAAGAAGCCGACCAATCTGTAAATAACTTCCAAGGTCGTTTATAAACTGATACAGAAGCGTTACTCAAGCTTGCCTCTAAAAGAGTTTTTGTTATAACTGCCAGTTCTCTGGTAACAGTTGGGGAGGCACAGCTGTTGGTTCTGGCGCCATGTCCTTGGACAGGGACTTGAATTTGGTCACCTGTAAACGCGATAAAGCATCAGCTTTGGTGTTATGAACGCCTGGGAGGTGTACAGCTTTAAATAAGATATTATTCTGCAAACATGATAGAACCAAGGCGCGAAGAAGAACCAACAGCTCCGTATCTTTAGTCGTCTTTTTATTAATTACGTCCGACAAGGCTTGATTGTCGGTGTGGAAGGTTATGCATTTGTTCGCCAGCTGAGTACCCCATATTTCTATACTGAGAACAATAGGAAACATTTCTAGCACAATAATATTCTTAGAGGTCCAGGATGGGGGCCACGGACCGTAAAACCAATTTTGACGAAACAGCGCTCCATAGCCTAGAGAGCCAGAAGCATCAGTATAAAGATGCAAGTGAGGTGATGAAAGCCATTGAAAGTCTAAGAAGAATGATTTGCCATTGAATTGTGTTAAAAATTCTAACCAGAGCCTAAGATCGTCCTTGACTATACGCGTTAATCTAATTAAACGAGTCGGGCGATTGACCCCAACTGTCAAATTAATCATTCGTCTAAGAAAGGTCCTGCCGGGTATAACGACTGAACAAGTGAAGTTCAGAAAACCAATAAGGGATTGCATCTCCTTAAGGGAGACTTTTTTACGCTTGAGAAATTCATAAATAAGAGTAACACATTTTCTTAGCTTTTCTTCTGGGAGGCGAGCCTCCATTTTGTCAGTGTCTAGTTCTATTCCGGCGAAACATAAAACACTACTGGGACCCATTGTCTTTTCAGGCGCCATGGGGACACCCAAGTCGTCACACATCGCTAAAAACCTAGACAGATTTTGTTCACAAACTGAGAAGGTTTTGTCTATGAGAAGGAAATCATCTAAAAGGTGTAAAACACCTGAGATAGCTAACTTAGACTTAGCAATCCACTCGAGAGCGGTTGAAAAGCTTTCCAAAATTTTGCAAGAGGAACTGGCTCCCATCGGCAGACATTTATCAAAATAGAAGCTGTCCTCCCAACAAAAACCTAACAAATCATAGTCGCATGGATTGATTGGAATTAGACGAAAAGCGTTTTTGACATCTGTCTTAGCTAGGGCACAGCCCCTGCCTGTGCGCCTGATAAGTCTAACCGCATTGTCAATCGAGGCATATTTAACCGTAGAGGCATCGTTAGGAATACAAGAGTTAATAGAATCACCGTAAGGAAAAGATAAGTGGTGAATAAGGCGAAATTCTCCTGGCGTCTTTTTAGGAATTAAACCAAGCGGAGAAATGCGTAAAGAAGGAAAAGGTCGTTCTAAAAATGGCCCTGCAATCAGACCTAGACCTAATTCTTTTGACAGTTTATCGGAAACGGCTGCAGGGTTTTGAGTAGCGGTTTTCCAATCCAGTAGCATTCTGCTCAAAATATAAATTGGAGAGAGAAAAAACGGAACCGGCAATAAAAGAAAAATCGGCAGCATGTTTGGCAATTTCCAAATTGGAGACGCCACATTGAACATGCTAAAGCGCCGGAAAGAGGAACCGGTCCGAAAAATAATTACAATATCTTATAACAAAAGATAAAGCTCTCCTGTCCGCCATAAAGGACGGTTACAACGAAAGTAGAATGCATGACTGGATAGACAAGTTGGAATCTGTCACTGAGCCTCAGAAAAAGTGGCTAACTTCTTCAAGGCGAATAGTATGGCTCCCCTATAGCTACGATAAAGAGCATAGTTGCCCGCTGCGTTCCCATGAACGCCATCTCGGCATAAAACAGCAATAGATGGACTTTGAAGCCCTCTATGGCTCCACGCTTCAGCATAAGGGAGTGGTTCGAGGACCACTTTGAGATATTTATTGAGAAGGTCTACTTTGTGGCTGAAATCGGGAACGTGTGGAGGAATAGCAGACCGGTAAATTACTAGGCATACCATTATAAACTCTGCTCCACAGTGATCATGGAGGACTTCAACTAAATGTTCAATATCTGAACCAACAGATTCGGGGCGCTGCCCCACTACACACAAATCATTAGTTCCCAGTTCTAAAATGATAACCTTTGGCTGAAAAGCCTTAATTTTGTCCAAATCAAATGACAGCATTTTAGAGACGGTTCTACCGCCAATGCCTAGAAAAGATATATTTTCGTGAGGCAAGTTCATGTTGTGAGTGGCACGCCTATCGTGATGTTCGGTGAGGAATGTCTGTAAACGCCTCACAAATGAATGACCAAGAATGAGAATGTTGGCGGTATTATCCATAACAGCAAACAGTTGAAAGCAAGAAGTAAATGCGATATACTTAACGTTTGTTGTGGTGAATTCCCAAGGAGAGCTGCTTGTTCAAAGGATAAGCGGGTCAGCTTTCGAAGATTCGGCTTGATGTCAGCTTTCAGACCGAGAGGATTAACAAAAGGTTACACCCTCTTATAAAGGGTCTCCGCGAGATAATGAGATCGAGGCTAAGTAGATTTACTTTGAGTGGCCTTACGATAGGAGCTCGTGATATTACCCAAAAGTAATTTTACTTTTCGTCTTGTGATTCTCATGCGACCGTAAACCATTGTAAGATAATTCAAAGTTCACATTCGAGAGCCTCTAGGCCTTTGAAGCCGCAATCGACCCCCCCCCCCCCAAAATCCATGCATTGAAGAAATTGGAAGGGGAGACATAAAAATTTTTATTTGGTTCCAAATAAACTCATTTATGAACAAGTCAACTAAATAAAGTAACGCAAGACGTAAGCTTCATTTGCATTTGTAAACAAAAAACTTTTTTACCGGTTTTTCGATAACTATTCAAGTCAAAAAGACAAATCTTTACCTGTTAAAACTTCCAAACCGAACTTCGTCACCTTCTTCATGTATTTCGGAAATAGCTTGCTTGATTAGTTGTGAAATTTCTTAGTTTGTTACGGCAGCAAACCGGGAAAGCATTTTGCTCGCAACCTACGCGAGTTTGGCGTCGCTCGCTCGGAGGAACTGGAGGTGAATCAGTGAATAGTGCAGGATATTCACTGATTGAGTAGCCAATCAGAGCGCCCGAAAAACACTATCCACTGTTTTAGTATATACTAAACAACATTATTTGGGAAGCAAAACTAGAACAGTGAAGTTTGCACTCCGTGAAAAAGCGAGCAATGCACCAGTCAATTCCAGCTGCGCCCAGCTCACCCCCGCTCGGGTGCTGACCCCCATGCATGTATGCATTAGCATTTTTTTGCCTTGGTAAATTCCTGGGGGTGGAGACCGTTGAGCTGTCAAATCCTTCAGGGTGGGGACGAAAATAGAGGGCCGCCCTCGTCCTCCATTAACACTGCAACCTTTTTCATTGATCGCACAGTCGGGTAGTGCTATTTTAAGCATTTTAATGTGCGATGTTTTGTTTCAGTTAACGTCTGCCTTTGTAATGGCGCCATTCTAATAAAGACTTCACGCCGCGACGTTACCAGTTTATGGTTTTAGTATTGTTATAAAATTATTGATGTTAAAATTAATATTGTGCTGAAAAGTTTAAAAGCTTAAATCGGGCATTATAAAGGGCTAACTTCTCAGGAAACAACTTAACTCGGCGATAAGAAAGGGACAAGCTTGACTTAACGTGCAAGTTGTCGCTGAAGTTGGAGAGTTTATCAGCAATCAACCGAGCTAGGATGACAGAATTCAACGATAGTTAATAAGATTTAGCTTCTGTAGCATTCTACACGGAATACGGCGATCAGTTTAAAAAAAAAGAGATAATTTTACTTTTAATATATTTTTTCTTCTTAGGATGTAATCTTATTACAGTCATTGGAGGAGATGACAACTACAAAAGTGAAGACGAGGAAGAGCGATCAGTTATCTCTCCCTGGGCCCGAAGAATTGTTTCTGTACAATTTAGCGAAGAATATTTGGATGGAAGGAAAAGCTTTGTATTTTCCTGGAACAAGAAACACAGGCCAATTCACGAGGAGGCTCTGAAGCATTTTTTTGATCCAAGCAAAAATAGTGAAAAGTTTGAATATCAGCTGTCAGCAAACCCAGACCCTCCATCGCAGGCCAGACGAGTTACACCGGCTGAAACCATTCCCTCCAAAGCGGAAGAGAACAAATGCTCATCAGGTATTGGGAAAATTACCCAAGAAAAGGGTACTTTTTTTGTTATTTTATGCTGTTCTATTGTATTTTTCCCAGACAAGATGGTAGATCGAGATCGGTACGTTTTCGTCCGGTGGAAACTTCCTTGTCAATGCATCTATGGATTTCTTTTGAATATATGTTTGTTGTGGTTCAGTTTTATTCTTGGTTTAGATTTTATTACCCTTTTTTGAGGATAGAAATGTATGATAATGAGTTTAAAACAAAGGGAAATTAGATTTAAACAGCGGATAAAATTTAACCACAACAATACATCCACCTTCATTTTCGCCTCCCGATGCCTCTTCCTACTTTATCCTCACCACTTTCTCTTAACTCTGTTAACTTCCTTCACTCTTGCTCCTGATTGCCTGCGTCGGAGAAGCTCTAAACCAATATTTACGAGTGCGTGGGCCGGCTGCAACGCAGGCTAGTTCCTCACTCTCGCATTCATGTGTTAAGTTGGTAGTGACGGAAGAAAGGAAAAAAATAGAGAGCGGAGAAAACAAACAGTCTAGACTTTATCATAGTACTCCAGATAAGGGAAACAAGTGAGGAAACTAAAAGGTTTCCTGAATTGCCACTTTGTCAATCTGATATGTACCTTCTCTTTTTGCTTTCTACAGCTGAAACTCCCACCTATACCGCGCATAGACCTGGACCTTTGGCCGGCAAATTATTGTTTAAGAGCAAACTACGTAATGGCAGAATCTCATATGCACCGGAAGATGTTGAGTTTTCAAGCCCTCACTTTCTGGGACTCCCTGATGATAAAAAGCAAAGATATCTGGATAACTACAGCCACATCGATGAGATTAAACTGAAAATCGTGTCCGGCCGGCCAGGGAATAGTTTGTTAGTTTTCGTTGGCGACCAAGGAATAGAGATGGAGAACAATGACTTACTCCGATTGAAAACTCGTGTAATCAAGGGTCTGGTATCTTTCCGTGAAGATGACGTCGAGTTTCAATATCCAGGCTGGAAAGTCCCTTTGTTCATACTTGAAGACTTAAAAAGAAAGGCGTCTACTGGCAGACTCTTCATTATATCTGACGAGAGAGGGAATTTAAGATGCAAGGTAAAGAGGGAAGTAGCGGATAAGTTAGCTGATAGTGTAGCTAAGTTTTCAGCCATTTTAAGGAGTTCGAACGCTTTCAAATAAACCTCTTTAAAAAATTACAAATTGCTGGTTTGCACGTGACCTCTCACGGCGGCCATGTTGGATGACAAGGACAAAAGCATTTCTTCCCTATGGGAACTAAACTCTATTTTCATGTAAATTCTTCAAGAAAAAATTATGATTGCCAACCAAAGCTAACCAACATGGCCGCCTTGTCACGTGGTTGCAAACCTGGAATAAAGAAACCTTGGCTTACAGGAAAAAGAATGTTGTAAGCCAAGCTAAAAAGTTAGAGCTTCATCAAACTGTCAAGATTGAAACATCTGCTATTGTATTTACTGTAGTTAAAGACAGAGCCGTTAGTTTTTTGTCATGTTTTTTAACCCAATGCAATTAAGCAAAAACAAGAGCCATAATGGCTCTTGGTAAAAACAAGGGCCTCTTTCATCGCAAAACCTAGTACGTTATACTGGTCGTTAATCCTTAAGCGTATTTTGACAGGGTCGCTAACCAGACTTGGATCTGTAAAATGTAACGACGGCACGAGCCACTTGATTTTTGTTTTGTTTTGTATTTGTTTGTTTGTTTTGCTTGCTTTTTCTTTTTATCGAATTTCTTTTGTTCATTTTTTTTGAAGAGTTCATTTAAAAATAAATAGTAATAGTAAAAGCTGAGCGTCATATCCATGGACTCATGTTGCTTTACAAACGAATATTATAAATTGAAATAATGTTAAGAAATTTACATTCAGTGTTCAAAAACACGAATATGTAAAAATATTAAACTAAAATCTGTATAAACTAACTACTAATATTTGCATCATTATAGTACTTTAACTGAAATGCTCGCGAAATAAGTAAGTCACTCTTAAGTCAGTCTTAAAGTTTGCAATGCTTGCAAGATCCGGGATCGTTGCGTGTCGGTCGTTCTCGTTTGCGGCACCAAAACTATGAAACTCGTTGCCAGAACGTGCCCGCTATACATACATATTTTACTAGTTCAGGAGACTATTACCGTCTCCTGACTAGTTATAGCTATCGCTAAGTGCCAACGAGCAAGTTAAAGATTTTACACTAAAGACACACGTTTGATGCAAATGATGCAAATGAATCCACCCGACGATTGGTTGAAGAGGGGATGAGCACGGGAGTCACATTCTTTGTTCTGCAATTGTAACAGAATTGAAGATGAAACCCACTTTTTATTAGATTGTCCAAGTTTTTTTTTTTCGATAAGACAGATGTTCTTCTCTAAACTAGAACTTAAAATACCGTTTCAACGACTACAATCACATAAGATGAATTCTACTGAGTATTTTATTAACATCCAATTAATTTCATTTATATCATCTTGCTTTGTATTGAGAGATAAACCTGTCTCCGGAAAAATTAATCCTACTGATGGTTAAAAATAAGCTAAGTAATATAATGATTAATATATTTCAAATTATTTCAAATATTTGATGTAAAATTAAAGAAATCAATATTTAAATTCAAGTAACTATTGCAATACTGTAATACTTTGTTATAGTCATGCAAATAAAGCTTATTGTTTTTGCTGTACCACGTGTTCGCTCGAAAACAATGCATTAGTTAAAAAAGTTACGTTACACTTCCTTAAGCCTGGTTTCCATACGATCGCTTTGATCGCTTTGATCGCTGAGAAAAAAAAAGTTCAGCCATCGCAGCGATTGTAGCGATCATATGGAAACCACTTTCCAGCGAACGTGGCGATCGCAGCAACAACGATCGCTGAGATAGAACTTTTTCTATACCAGCGATCGTTGTCGCTGCGATCTCTACGATCGCTGGAAAGTGGTTTCCATGTGATCGCTAAACTTTTTTTTTCTCCGCCTTTGGCTTGTTTCCTTTTATTCACACTGCTGATACTTTACTGCCTCGCAAGATTTTTGCGATAACGTATTTCTAGTAACAAAAGTTAACTGCTATTCGCGCCTATTTCTTCGGCGGAGCGCGAAGTAAAGGATTCACGACGCTCAGGAATGTCTCAGAGTTGCAGTCGGATGCCCAGGAGTTGCTTCGGAATACGTTCGAGATATCTTCGAGTTGTTTGATTTATTCTTTCAGGGAAAGAAATAATTCTCAGGAAGAAATAATTATTATTTCTGGAAGAAATAAAGACGAAATGATTATTATTTCTGGCTTTCCCAGAGTTGGAGCCAGGTCAGGTGTGACCGTCAGTTCAGATGAGGCGCTTTAAGTTGAGGGATTAGCTGACCGCGCCACTGCGACCCAAGGAAATTTGAGATGCGAAAATAGCCATAAGGTATGCGCGAGGTACGGGAAAAGATTGGGCACGCAAGTTAGTGACCTTTCGGCTTGTTTTGGGTATTTGACTTAGTGACAGAAATGAGCTCAAGATTCGCGAGATCACTCCGAGTTCTTTCGGCTACAATAAATATTTGAGGCGGAGCGCAAAGTATTAAAGGATTTGAGACGCTCAGGAATGTCGTTAACTTGGGGTGCCTTCCCATTTTGCCAAACCAACCAGTTAGAAACCAGTGGAATTATCAACAGAAAATGGAACGACATTAAACACTTGAAACAAAGTTTCCAACTGAAATTTTTACTACTGCTTAGCAAAGTAGGGCTGGAAACGAGAATTTTAGGAAATGAAACGGCAGTTTCGGTCGGAGCGGACCGACCGGACAAAGACATATGACATATAAAAGCTCCCAATTGGAATGTCCAGAGATGAGATTATGGCAAGAAGATCGAAATGCACCAATCAGAGATATAAAATTTGAAGCGCATGTGTCCTGAGAGGTCATCTGATTTGTTGATTCTTTGATTTTATTTAGTGATTGGTTTATTGTGTAGGGTGGAATGGATGAGCCAATTAATATTAGGGACGAGTTGGATGTTTTTGATCCGAGTGAATTGCAAAATTGGGATAGCGACTGTTGAACTTGTATAACGTGTTTATGTTTTCCATGTAATAATTTATTTTGCGATGTTGTACATGAATTATCCTCGGTGTGGAGATTGCGCATTTTCAGCAAGTTTTATAAGCGAGTGTACTCTGATGTTAGTTCCTTTGCTGGAGAAGGTGCTACATAAGGAAAGTGTTGTTGTAGAGGAAATAAAGGAAGTGGAACTGAGATCTCGTCGTGCGCAATTTTTTTATGACAGAAATTATAATCGAATTTGGTTACAGCCACAGGGTCATGCACCTAGCAGAGTTCCGGTAAAGAAGTTAAGACGCCTGTTACTGAAAACAAGAAAAGTAAGGACATTTCGTGGAAGGGTATATCCGGAAAAATATCATTTCTTACTATTCCTCCGCATTCACAATTAGTAGCCGTGTTACGTAGATGGTAATTCGTTTGATCGACATTTCTTCTCACAAAGGAGTTCCTTTCACTGTCCACGAGGAACATTTTCGTATTGTTCTTCTTGTTCCTGTTCTTGTTTTTCTTCCTCTTCTTCTGCCCCCCTTTCCTCCTCCATCTTCTGCTTCTTCTTTTTCCGCTGCTACTCCTCTTCTTGTTCTTCTTCTTTTTCTTCTGCTCCTCCTCCTCCATCTTCTTCTTCTTGATCTTCTTCTGCTGCTGCTGCTCCTTCTTCTTGTTTTTTTTTTCTGCTCGTCCTCCTCCTTCTTCTTCTAGTTCAAGGTCAAGTTCAATATTATTCATTATATATAAAACACTATTACAATCAATTTGAAATGTCACTGATCTGCAGGTAGCTAAAACTGATCGAGGCAGGTCACGGTTCCTCCTCCTTCTTTTGTCGACATGCTTCAGGTGATGCTTCTAATAGACATTAGGCAGTAGCTCGGTCATCTCTTTTTTTTTAGCAGTATTTTTGATTGCTTTTAAATGTAAAACAATTAAAGTTACTATTTTTTCCATTAACGAAGGCAGGGCCTCCTTTTGTCTTTTTGATCGAGGAGCAGAACACGCAAGGGCACCCAAAGATGGTTTCCCCCAAAATACATTGAAAACACTTTTCAGGTTATCCATAGTACTTTCAGATGCATAGAAATGCATTCTTACCGATGTTTTAAACTTTGTATTTGTTCGGTCATACTAGGGGAACTTTAGTCTTTTCGAAATTACAAGGGTTTCAGTATTATTTCACCCCGAAAATTTTAGCTGCAATTTAACGTTTTACGCATCATATTTTTGAATCCGAAAATTTCAGGTTCCTTTTTTCTACGACAATTAGCCGAAAAGGGGAAGTAAAATGTGAGAAATTAAACTTCAGAAAATCGTAGAGGATACGCTTCGAAAATTGTACCTGAATGGAACGTTCATCTAGAAATTTCTAGCCGTCCTTCAGCAATAGAAAATTCTAGGTAATATTTGCTTCTCGGAGCAGATAATTCACAGAAAACAGTCGTTGGGTACCCCTCAACAAGAGACTCTGCCTATCGCGTCAAACTTTTGAGGTCGCGACGGCCCAACTTTCTGGACTAGTCAGATTAGTCTTTTTTTCTTCCAGCTGAGATTGAATTTGAAATAATGTTGTTACCAGATAATAATAGTTATGGGTTGTATTCTTGTCCATCTTTTCTTCTAAAATGCGCCAGACTGGTTATTAGTAATCCGCTGGCAGAAATATTGAATTTTCCCATTCATTTGGGAAAACTGAAATTTGCGAAAGTCCCTGTTTTCAAGGAGGGCGATGATACTCATCAAAATAATTATACACCTATTTCCCTCCTATTCCATTTTAATAGAATCTTTGAAAAATTGATGTACAAACGACTTGAATCTTATTTTAGTAAATTTGACATCTTAAACCCTTGCCTGAATGTGGTTCTCGTCGCTACTCATAATGCTACTTTGGATATTATAAGCAGCATCCAAAATAACATAATCATGGATAACAAATTACTTTCATGTGGCATTTTTATTGATCTTAAAAAAAGCTTTTGACACTGTAAACAATAATATACTTTTAAACAAGCTGGAACGCTATGGTCAGTATAAGAGGTGTTATCAACAGTCGGTTTTCGTCCTTTATTTCTAATAAAGGCTCAGTGCTTGCATGGTCCACTGCATTTCGTAATGGAAGTTTTACCTTTTCACTGACGATACTAGTATAGTTTATGCACATAGGGACTTTAAATCGGTCTAAGGGACCGGTCATTATTTATCGCCTGGGGGGTGGGGTTGGGGGGAAAGGAGGATTTGGGGCTAAACAATGTAAAATTTAGCCGATTCCCCCTTTGAATGTTACTTCACTGAAGTGATCCCCCCTAATAACATTTGATGACTTTCGCGGTCCCCCCCCCCATGTCTTCATTTTCCAAGCGAATTTTAGTGGTGCCCCCTTTGAATCCTTCTAAAGTTTCAATGATCCCCCCTTTTGGGTTCTCGGTTACGACTGATCCCCCCTTTTGTTCTCCTAAAAACCTGGTGATCCACCCCAAAATCCTCCGCCCCCGGGCAATAAATAATGACCGTTCCCTAAATAATTAGCGAGGACTGTTAATGCAGAATTATTTAAACGTTCAGAATGGCTTACTACAAATAGGCTAACCTTAAGGCGGCCCGAACCTACTTATATGCGTGTTGGTTATGCGTTTGATTTGCGTTTTTCAGAATGAACGATTCAACCGCTCTCTATGATATTTGGCATCCATAATAAATAGTAATGGAACTTTAGGAAAATGTTATTTATTTTCTTGTGGGTATAAAAACCTTTGAGATATCGGCATATATTTAAAACCGCATTTTTACGAAAAATGTAAAAAAATTCGAAATCCCACGACAGATTTTTCCATAACCTCAGCACTAAAGTCCCTAACTTCCCTTCACGAAAAGAACTCAGGAGAAACTGTTCGCCGATTTCGCACAATAATACAAAGCATTTTTTGTGCCCAATCAGGAACCGGCATCAGCTTGAATTTTTGGAAATAGTTCGATGACAGTCGGTACCCAGGGGCTCTTTCGCCCGTATTTGAAAGCTTTCGTCCCACCTTTTCTCCCGACCCGACTGACTGCCCCTGGGTCTCCGAGGATGGAACATTTACAGCTTGAAATATCATCTAAGTGTGATATACAGGCAGAAAACAGTTGTACGTCGTGTAAATATGGGATCTAATGCTGACAGTCTCGAAATTTCCAGAAGAGACTTGGGCACAAAGAAAATCAAACCAAATAAAGAAATATGCCCAGAAGGCTTCGGAGTCATGTTAAAATCTTAAAATATCGAGAATGGAGAGTGACCATTTCCCGGAAACTCCCAAACAAAAACATTACAAAAATTGACTACAGACAAGCGTGGAGAACAGCGTTAAGTTTGGTGCGACAAGATGTCATATCCGCAGAAAAGGTTTTTCCTTTTTAATTGTGACAATACTTACAATTTAGAAATAGTAGAGAGTTTTTTGCTTGAAGTAGAGGAGAAATATGGCTTCAAATTCTCAGTTGATCGTCTTTATTTTCGTCTGCAACGAATGGCTGAGGTGTGCGACTGGATTATACCTACACTGGATATGGACGTCGCTGTCTTTGTTGTCCACGCGAACGAATCTCGTCTCTCTATCAACGAAGACAACGCTGGGATTGGTTACGCGAGAATCTATCGAGCTTTGCTTAAAAAAACAGGTGGGCTTCAGCTATCTCTTAATGGCTCGCTTTCCATTGCATGATTTGGTTTAAGGCAGTTTTAGATACGCACACTGGTGATTGGTGATACACTTAGCTTGGCTTCCACTGACTCGGTACATAAGTTTTAAAAACGCACGCACCTGGTTGGTAATTTTACTAATACATATCCAGTTTAAAACGTAAGACACAGCAATATAAAACTTGTTCGACGGATGCTTTGATAGTTCACGCACTTAATGAGATGTTGATACAACTGCAGAAGAAACCGTTCTCAACCGTAAGTCCCGTGACCCCTTCTTTTTATTCCAATAATCTATACCGTGAAGGCTTAATTAGTTAATAAAACGCTTTCAAAGTCCTTTTTATAATATAAGATATGATCAGGATGGAAAATAGTTAATCGATTAGGAAGGTAAAGACGAAAACACTCCTGAAGCACTTTCGATTTTAAAGGCATCAATTCATATGACACGCAGCTTCTAAACTTAAGAAGAAAAGTATCCTTGAGAGCTCCATACAATTCCTCGTAATTTTATTATAAGGAATTGTATGGAGCCTTCCAGGAGACTTTTCTTCATTAGTTTAGGCGCGGCGGATTTTGTCGCGTATGATCAACGCGAGGTGTTTTCCCTACCCTCTTCTGTCAGGCAAAAGGAATCAACAACAAGTTCATTCAGTATTACCATTTTGTACAGGTGTTACCACAGGCGCCCCAAGCTCGGTGCATAAATTACCGCGAGTTTCGATACTGTTTTGCATATTACGAACGATTTGAAGAATTTGTATGAGAAATTCATTATAGCTGTAGAAATACAGACATGAATATAGAAATAAATTGTACAAAACTTGGGCCTGTTGTTGCCTTTTCGGTGTAACCTGGGCTCAATTCATGGCTGTTTTACGGCACATTGTTTATTCGGTGTTGTTTTCCTATTTAAATCACAGGCAGCCCAGACGTAGTATGTGTCACTGAATGAATATATTAATATTCACATGGACAAATTAATGCGATGAGTCGTCGAAACTCCAATGAACTAAAATAGTCCAAAAGTCAAAATATAACAAAACAAAGCTAAGATACCTTTAACTGAACGTATCCTTGTCTTTCCTGGCCGGTTAAAGTGGCATTTTGTTGAGTTTTGAAATTGTAGGTACTATCCACTAAAGAAGAATTAAAGGCTGGCTACAAATGAAACAGATCATCTCCACGCTCCTTCACACGAAGCGCTATAAATTCGAGAATAATCGACGAATCCGCTCCAAATAACCATCTGCTAATCTGCAGGTAACGTGTGCTCCTGCTTCTGGCTCGCTTGCTCCACAAAACCCATCGCAACTGCACACTAATTGCTCGCTCATCAACAACCACTGTTGACCTTTACGCTTCGATATGACCGCAAACGACCAGGTTTAATACGCGACGTGAATATTCAAGCTTAGCGACCGCGTTCGCGCAACAATGCAGCACTTACTATGGGAGGGATGGTACTATTACTTCCAGGTCAATCAATCGGGAAAATAATATTGAAGCCCTTGTAATTTTTAAAAAGATCCAATTTGCCCAAGGAGCACGCCGAACAGATACGAATCTTATAGAGGAGCTAAAAAAAATGGGCGGAAGTGGAAAAAGTGAACAAGAACGTACCACATTTTCTCCATAAAAAGTGAAAACCAGGAAGTTTTCTGGACGTTTCACGTTGCAGTCATGCAAATCAACGGCGAGGAAATGTACAAGAAAGTGTGCTGCAATTAGACCCATTGTTGTTTTTTCACAGTTCTGGTCAAGGGCATCCAACTTTTAATTTTTCACATTTCACTCACCGGTTAGGCTATTTTTCGTAGAGAGTAAAATGGAATCCTAGAATTTTCAGATTCAAAAATCTGATGAAAGAAGGTATCTGAAAAATTATCTCCTTCGTAATACGTTAAATTGCATCTAAAATTTTCGGGAAAATAATTCTGAATTCCTCGTAATTTCGGAAAGACTCAAGTTCCTCTAGAATGACCGAACACTGAGATGCAAATTTTATAGCGCCACTTGGAATGCATTTCTATAGAGCTAAAAGTACTTTATGAATAGCTACAAAAGTGTTTTCAATTGAAAGTATTTGAGGAAACAGTCGTTGGGTGGCCCTGTCTCGTTGCCTTCTCCGCTTAGCATTACACGATATATTTATATTTAGCATGAGCAAACTATAAATCATGAGCTTCGCTTTTAGCCCTCCTGACTAAATTTATGTAAGCGCTGTTTAGAATGCATTTTTCGATCAAAAGAACTCTGGACAGCCTTAAATGTGTTTTCAATGCATTTAGGGGGAAATCATCGTTGGGTGCCCCTGAGTTTTGAGAATAATAATAATAATAATAAAAGATATCGCGCACATAAATTTTACTTTACGATATCTTCAGCTGTGTCTTCTATTCAGCTGCATAGAGGGGGCCAGATTTTGCCTTTTTCCTGGGCGGAAAATTCTAGTCCTCCGTCTCCAGTTTGGACAACATATTATGGAGTAAGACGTTGTTAATCTAAGCAAATAAGTCTGGTAGAGTCAAGAACCTATGCAAGCGGCTGGACGAACAATGTGACAGCAGGTGAGAGAGCGAACGTTAGAAGAATTCGAACTTGAAAACCAGGGCTGCCCTGTTGGTAAACTTACGGACGGTCAAGCGATCGCCTTTTGTTTTCAGGTCAAAACTAACGCAGCGAACCTTCGGTCAGTCGATTGACCTCTAGAAGCAATAGTACCATCCCTCCCATAGCAAGTGCTGCATTGTTGCGCGAACGCGGTCGCTAAGCTTGAATATTCACGTCGCGTATTAAACCTCATATCGAAGCGTAAAGGTCAACAGTGGTTGTTGATGAGCGAGCAATTAGTGCGATTTAGCAATTAGTGCAGTTGCGATGGGTTTTGTGGAGCAAGCGAGCCAGAAGCAGGAGCACACGTTACCTGCAGATTAGCAGATGGTTATTTGGAGCGGATTCGTCGATTATTCTCGAATTTATAGCGCTTCGTGTGAAGGCGCGTGGAGATGATCTGTTTGTTTTGTAGCCAGCCTTTAATTCTTCTTTAGTGGATAGTACCTACAATTTCAAAACTCAACAAAATGCCACTTTAACCGGCCAGGAAAGACAAGGATACGTTCAGTTAAAGGTATCTTAGCTTTGTTTTGTTATATTTTGACTTTTGGACTATTTTAGTTCATTGGAGTTTCGACGACTCATCGCATTAATTTGTCCATGTGAATATTAATATATTCATTCATTGACACATACTACGTCTGGGCTGCCTGTGTCTCGACTCACAAATCTCTCCCACACCGATGAACGGCGCACTGATTCGCCATTGAAGTGTCAGTTCTTTAAGGCCGCTTAAGTCTATCATCTATTCGCCTCTTCAAGGGTATCGTGATGCGTTATTTGAAGGAATAATTTTGGAAAGCTTTCGGTTCTGGGCAATCTGGCGTTCGCTCAGGAAACTCGATGATTACGTGTTGCGTGGTGATCGTGAACATGGACTCAGGGGATTCGGGTAATCAATATTGCATGACAAAACATGGATCTTCCTACCCTCAGATAGTCTACTGATTGCGCGTGAGCGGTGTTTGGAATTATCCAATTAGATGAGCGTATATAAAATTTTCGCCTTCCTTTTTTTTAGATGATAACGTGCTAATCGTGATAGGCGGAGACAGTTACTACAGAGATGAAAACGAAGAGGTACGGTTTGTCATCTCGCGCTGGGCGAGAAAGAAGGTGGCTTCTCAGTTCAGTGAAGAGTATCTGGATGGATGGCAAAGCTTTATCTTCTCTTGGCATAAAAAACACCTTGATCCTTGATCCTGACAAAAGCGGATCCAAGTTTGAATACACACCTCCCAGGCCCTTGCCAAAGCCCATACTGCCTGTGATCCCGCATCACCTGTCGAAGCCGAAAACACCTGTGACCACCTTTGCAGGCAGGAATGTGAGGCAAGAGGTAAGAGCTATAGTCTTCACCCTTTATTCCTGGAAACTTACTGGAAGATCACGGTTTTAAGCCCTGGGCTTATACAATTTGGAAAGGAGTACTGGGTGGGCTTATAACAAGAGGAGGCTTAATAGCGGAAGAAAAAAGTTTCGAAGATGAAGGCAGGAAGAGCTTATGAGAGGGATGCTCATGCTAGAGAACCTTCTTGGTCACCTCTCACTTTTTAAGCCCAATGAGTAAAGAAGTCTAAAATATATCCAGTTCCCTAAGATAATTGAAAGCCACACCCTCTTCCGACACCAACAGCCCCCAACCGCATCATTGCATCGAGATACTCTTTCAATAGCCAATCAGCTTGAAACGAAAAATGGAGTTAGCATGACCTTTAAAAATAGTAGTGGCTAAGCGAGTATTCTCCAAAAAGACACACTGATAATGATAACGCTGGCCTTTCCGGCCTTCTTCATGTCTAGTCCTTCTTTTCTGGCCGCACCCTTCCCCGATCCGGCTTATGTGTAAGAAGATCGAATTTAGTTTGTAAAGGTTTCACCAAAAAACTTTAACTAAAATGAATTTATTTTATTACTTTTAACTTATGTTGTTTTTCCATCCTTCGCATATAGTCGTCTTTGGTGGAAAGTAACACAGAAATCCTTATCCAAGACAACGAACAAGATACTTACCGAGGTGAAAGTCTTTCGCTTGTTATAATTAATGATTTAGGGAAATAAGTTTGGCTAAGGACCTTTGAACCTCGTATCATGTGCCCTTGTCGATGTATGCAGTTATTTTATGATTATATGTACAGTACTGAGTAAGCAGTAAAAAGCCTCACACTTTTAATTCTGTGTCTTGCTTTCTCGGTTCAAAGAAACAAAAAACATATTAAGTTTATTTGTAGTAATGAAAACCAACAAGGCTATTCAAAATCGGTCCTTAAATAAATGGACTGAAGCTTGAAAAATAAAAGATGCTAAGTAATTTTAATCTATCTGCACAAAGCGGAAGGGCCGGTCCCCGTGAGAGAATGACGTCAATGACTGGGACAATCGCAGATATCGATGATCAGCGTAAGCAGGCTATCAGTTGCGCTGTTTCATTAGCAGATTATTCATAAATGGAACGACAAAATCAGGGCTCGAAAAAAACTTTAATTCAAGCTAGTACTTCGGCAAGCTGATTTCACACTTTGCTGCCCAGGGCTACTTCTTGCTCCTCTGAGTTATTGATTTTGTCACGGGATGACTTGCCTGGACCCTTCCTTATTGGACAAGGAAGTTTTTAATGTTACTTGCCCAGCAAGTCCTGATAATTTAGTGACTAAAAGATAAATCCTGAAATGTACGTGTTTTTTATATTGTAGCGATAAGTTCGGTTAGTAGTGGGAGATCAGCTGGTGTCAAGGTAGAAACCGTTTTTCTGGAAACAAAGTACGTTATGGAGAGATTTCGTACAACGCCAAGGACGTCCTACAGCGTAAAGGTGGGTGGCGACCTTCAGAGAGACAGGTGTCGATCGTGATGGAAGATCTGAAGCCCTATGCTGTCCGCACAGTGAAGTTCTTCCGTACTGGTGATGATCCCACAGTTAAGTTTTCGTATGACAAGCTGGGACCCCAGGATCCCCTGCGGGAGTGCTGCGTGGTGTGTGTTCGTGGTGTTTTGGAGGACTACAGTGAATGATCCATTAAAGAGTTCAATAAAAAGTCCAGATGCCAGAAATGTATGCTCACCTGTTGCTGCTGCTTCTGCGTGCACCTCTTCCTTTGCTGTGGCATGTTTAACGAATGCATGGTCACGTGTTATTTAGCCCTGGTTCGCTGCCTTGGTTCCTTATGGGGTTGGTGTACTGATAGGTTCAGAGGCCGTTAAAATAATTTTCTTTTATTATTAACCATTTCTGGGTAAAGCTGAAATCCGAGTCTAATAATTCTTTTGTTATTCATTGAAAATATTTCATACTTTAAAAATATGCTTACCTCGATTGACGTCAACTTCCCCTCTTCGGCAAATTCAAGAATAAAGAAAGCTGTTTAGTCTTGCAGATATTCTTCAAATAGCGTCTAGTTTTTTGCTGTTCTTGATATGCTTTTAGTTTAGGAAACAGTTTGGAAACCGTTACAATTTTTTGCATCAATTTCGGTTGCTGGGAAACTGTCCACCTACCCCTCCCCTAAGCCATCATTCTGCCCTAAGTGAGAAGTGTTAATGTTAGCTTAGGGGAGGGGTAGGTAGGCAGTTTCCCAGAAACCTAAAGCGATTCAAATTTTCGGCCCTTTCAAGCTATTTCAATTTCAAAAAACAGCTGATCTGCCCCGCCCAACCTCGTCGACGTCCTAAGGGGACTCACGGCTTACCGTACCCTTTCGTGTCTATATTCTGTATGTTAGCATTTCAAACAAATTCGCTCTTGCATAGGTATTTGTTTCTCATGCATGTACATATACACAAAGAACTGTGAACACTTTCATGAATAACTTGGTACTCTTTCGGGGATATTTCTGTGCTAATGAGGGTACCACATATTCAATACCGGGGGTAATCACGAGTCATGATCACTTTCACAATTCTCCTCGACTGCATTCTTAATGACATTGCTACATGTAACTTCTATTTTAGAGTAAGTCATTTTGTTTGCACCTAACTATTAAAAACAATTAAGTTGTCAAAGTGTGATTACCATACTTGCCAACTCTCCCGGATACGAAAACAAATCTCCCGGTCTCTTGTACGGTCTTGTACGGGTCACCAAATCTCCGGGATAAAATCGAGTTATGAACTTTTCTGTGCTTTAATTTGGAATGTATCCCATTTTCTCCCAAAATTCGAATTTTCTTTGATTCCAAGGTGGGTTTCTGGGGCATTTTCGGTCGTCTTTCATCACTGACTAAGATTATTTCGCCATTACAATCATAAAAGCTACTTATGATGGTCTTTACCTCATGTATCACTTCATATAATGTCCCCTGAAGCCGATCGGTGACTGGATCGAATTTTGCTTATAGGCTGGGGAGTTAATCGTTGACATTCGGAGGGAGAGGGGCTACTGCAAAAGAAAGAGTCTCCAGATTTTAGAATTCCAGAGGTTTGCATCTCTGGATTATGTACTACAACAAACGCAAATAATCTTGATCATTGCTGTAGTTCACTTAACAATAAATATTTTTCGCAGATTACCAGCATTTCCTTGTTCTTTTCACTGCAGCATTACAGTATGTTGCCCAGTATCCGGACGGTACCAGTATCCAGACACTTGAAACAAAAACTCAATTTTTGAGGCGCCCTTTACAGTTCTCGGTAAACGAAGTATTTCGAATGAAAGCTGAACATTTCAGCTTTAAGATGAAAGTTTTGGCGATTTGAAAGCTGGCGAAACAGTCGAGGAAGAGGCCGTTCTGTTCAGGTGAGTAAACTTTTCATGGCTAATATTTAGGCTGTTTACTGCGCAGTAAAATTAGTACTGCTCAGAACAGGGAGCGTAATGTGTGATATTTTAAAAGAAACTGTTTTATTTTTGAAATGAAGATACTTAAGGATGTTAGGTTTTCAGAAAGTTTATTAATTCTTCTTGAAATTCTATTTGTTTGGAATAACGAAGGCCAGAAACATTCACTAAGTTTTGATGTCATGTGCCCAGTATCCGGACAGTTTTTTCTTTGCTGTACAGAATCGATGAATTAGCTGTGTACATTATCCGGATAAGATTTATTTCATATCAGTAACTATAATTAAAGCTTAGGATATATGATATAGTCGTAAAATGTAATTCTACTCTACTCCGTATGGAAATTTTCTTCACCCATTCAGAGGCGACTTGATTTCGCGTGACAGCATTTTCTATATATAACTGAAAGCGTTTGAGTTGAACCTGGAATTCTCATACTTTCCCCAGTTGTGACTGCTAGAATGGGGTTGCAACGGTCTGAAAAATGTCACAAAGGGATTGAGAGATGTGAAAGAAGGAGGAATTAGTGCTAGAAAAGCAGGCTTATTGTGCGGACTGAACACGAAGAAATCCACACTGCAGGTCGGACTAAATAGGAGAGTGACCTTTGACCGGCGGGTTGAGGTCCCTTTCCCAATTTTTTTTAAAATAAAAAATGAAGAAAGAAAGTCGTTTGCAGATTGGCTAATTGAGCTTGCAAGCTGCGGCTTCGGCATGTCCACGGATGCCGTCCTTAAATCAGTGAAAAAGTTCCTAGACAACGAGGTAAGAATTATACCATTTTTAAACAGCCGCTCGCATTCCTCACCATACCCCAGTCATTTGTTATGTTTTATTTTACGATGCTAGGTTATATTTTTGGAATCGATTGCCAGACTACTTTGCAAGTGCAAGAGAAGCTTATAAGTAGCTTGCCTGTCGAAATTTATGTACAGTTACGTTATTATTGTTGTGTCCGGATACTGGGCCAGCTGTCCGGATACTGGGCAACATAGGAGCTCAGCAAAAATATGAAGTTCGCGAGGGAAACAGAGGCAAAAAAGTTAAACTGTCTTTCGTCATATTAAGGACTAGATAGATTTTCTCTGGGCCAAATTTCAGGGCTCTTACGATTAACAAAGGAAAGTTATTGCAATCTTAAACTGAAGTGTCCGGATACTGGGCAACATACTGTACCTCCTGCCATTTCAACCACTCACTAATAATGACACAATTTACAAGTAATTTTTATTACACTTATTAAGATGGCATGGGTTAGCTGCATATTGACCTGCAGTTATTCACTATCACACCCATGTTTTTTTTTTTACTATAGTTACACATGTAGGAGCGTGAACAGAGGACCTATTAGACATTGGCCATCCTTCCTTAACAACACCAACCCCAATTTAATCCTAGAAAACCCAACAGCGCACTGGGTTCAAATTTACTCCAACCAAAAGGAGATTAACTACATATCACATTCCAGTATTAGAGCCAGTGTTGCGACCCGCTCTCCCGAGCTACACAATCTACTCCAATTCTCTCCCCCTTCCATCTCTGACATTTAATGGGCCTCCCCCCGAGCTTCGCGAGTTTCTACGATACACGCATTTATGTTTGTAATAATAGTAATTATTTTTTCTTTCTGATCCTGTCTTTTTTGTAAATGATCTCCGAATAGCCCTTTCGGGAGAGATAATAACGTTATTGTGCCAGTGTATGGCCAAACCGTGCATGGTTTAGAAACCAGAAACTGCCAGTTCATTTTCCAGCTTTTTCAGGGCATGACGTAGCTAAATTGAACGAAAGGTGCAACGGCAAGGAAATAATCAATGCAAAAATATTCTAATTCTGAGCTCTTGAAAGATAATTTGATTCCATTCCACAACCACCAAGCGCGGATCCAGACGAGTGTACCCATTTTATGGGAATTGGTCAAATCTGAAATTTAAGATGAAACGGGAGGAGACAAGCGACAAAAATTTTTCGTCCGATGAAAGGGAATCCAAGAAAGTCTTGGATTCTGGATTCCACAACGTGGATTCCGGATTCAAGGTACTGGATTCGGAATTCTTTATCAATGGAACCTGGACTCCATATTCCAATCTGTAGTGGGTTTCCGCCTTCCTGAGCCGAATTCCGCATTTCAAAGCCCAGGATTCCGGATTACGCAGGCAAAAAAATCCCGGGTTCTGAATTCCACAAGTAAAAAAAATTACGAATTACGGAATCCGGAGTCGTTTACTTGGAGCGAAATTGTGAGGAAAAACCATCGCTTGGAATCGTTTAGGCTCAAGGAATTTGTTGTCGTTTTAAAAGCAGTTAAGAAGACCAACGTGGAACCTACATATCACGAAGGGCCGAGGGACTGGCAAAATTTGTTCGCTGTATCGAGGTTCTTTTTTATATATTTTACTATTACTGGGTTGAAGAAAATCGTTTGTTATACCGAGGACATCGTTATGTAGAGATTTGTTACATCGAGGTTCCAGCGATCAAAAACAGAAGTTTACGTTTTCTGCACAAATCCTTTAAATCCGAATGGGTATGGCAAATTGTAGCTTCGTATCTATGTCTATATATGCTTGCGTTCTTTTCCACTTGCATGTGACATAATCCTACCCAAAGAAATTTTAGGGATATCTTCTGTGTATATGAGTGTATGTGTATGTGTAAGTCAAATAGAAATTGTCATCTTTTTGCATTGCAAATATTGGCTCCATAGGATTTATCTTGAAAATTGACCTCTCCGAATGTCTCTTACGGATCTTTGGAAGGTCAAAGGGTCCTTTTAGGGGACCTGCCGAATGAAATAAAAGCGAATTCATAAGTACAACGGCGTGAAAATAATACCAACATTCAATGGTCACTATAACACTTGGATATATTTGACTCATTCTACTTATTCTGAGGCTAAATGACTTTTACACCGAAACGAGGCTCGGCCTCGTACTACACATAACAACCTCCCAAACGGGAGGGAAACAAGTCTTTGGCTCATATATATGTGCAGGTGGCAGATTGTCTGGTCTTTTATCTCTTTTAAAGACCGCAAACTGATTATTCACTTCAAATTTTAATTTTCAACTACCCTTAAATCCAATATTTTCTCATTTTCCATAACTTTTAAAATTTGCCCTTCAAACTTTTATTGATTACAAATATTCTAATAATCCCCAAAAAATTCTCAAAAACTCTTCGTTCTGAGAACTTTATTCTTAAAATCGAATGACATTTTGACGAGATTTTCAAGAAAAAAGTGCTCACGTATAATACAAGCAAGGCGGGCTTCTTCGGGCTCCATCCAAAATATCGGAACAATTGTGAGGTCACACGTTTTGTATACTATAGATGATTTTTATGCTACTGCTGTGTGTTTTTGTGGTTCAAGCTTAAATATTCGCGGAGCGTGACAATTTCCGGGAAATTTCTAAACAAACAGGAAAAAAAAAACGATGACGGACACGCGTGGAACACAGCGGCGTGCGACAAAATGTCGCATCAGTTGAAAAGGTTTTACATTTTTAACTGCGACAACACTTATAAGTTAGAAATAGTGGAAAATTTTTTGCTTCAAGTAGAGGAAAAATATGGTTTCAAAATCTCAGTTGATCGTCTTAATTTTGGTCTACAACGAATGGTTGAAGTTTGCGAGAATACGTTACCCAAGCTGGTGATGGACGTCGCTGTCTTTGTTGTGCATGCAAACGAATCTCGTCTCTCCATCAACGAAAACAACGCTGGCATTGGTTACGCGAGATTCTACCGAGCTTTGCTTCAAAAAACGGGTGGGTTTCAATATAAAGCACTTCCACTTCCACTGATTCTGCCGTTAAATACACACACTGGTGACTGGCAATTTTACTACACTGATATTAATCTTTCATCTGATTCAGTTAAAGTTTCACGCTTGAAAAAAATAGTTGGTAATTTTACTAAAACGTATCTAGTCTAATGAAACGTACGGCACGGTAATACTTAAATGAGGGAACGATTTAATTAGTTAACGCACTATGCGTTACATGCTGCTAAGCGTTAAACATGCCGAACCTCACATAAGAAAGGCGGAAGTCCCGATGCCCCTTTTCTCTATTTTAATAACCTATAATGTCAGTGTGAGGAAGCAATGCGGCATTTTCTCGATCCTGGCAAAAGAGGATCCAAGTTTGAATACACACCACCCAAGTCCCTGCCGAAGCCCAGAGAATCTAAAGCCCCCCAGCCCTTACCGAAGCGTATACCGCCTGTGATTCCTCAGCAGCGCCTGTCGAAGCCCAAAACACCTGTGATCACTTTTGCAGGCAGAAATGTGTGGCAAGAGGTAAGAGCTATAGTCTTCCACCTTTATTCCCGGGTACTTACTGAAAGATCCCAGTTTTAAGCCCTGGGCTTATACAATTTGGTAAGGAGTATTGGGCTCATGGGCTTATAACAAGAGGAGGCTTACAAGCGGAATAAAAAAATTTTTTAGTTGAAGGGAGCGGGGATATTCATGAGGGAATACCTGTTTGGTCACCTTTTATTTAACTTTAAAAGCCAAATGATTAAAGACGCCTACGATATATTCAGTTTGATCCCGTGAGATAATTCAAAGCCATGTCCTCCTCCAACACCAACAGCCTCCAACCGCATCGTTACATCGAGGTTCTCAAGTCCCTTGAACAACAAGTAACGGGTTTACTTAGTGAGTATTCTCTAAAGAGACGCAAAGATACTCGCTGCCGTCCCAGCCATTTTCTTTTCTGACTTCACCCTTCCAGGGTGCGCCCAGAGTGTAAGTTTATCTGATTCTAGCGCCCCTAATTAGTTTGTAAACGTTTTCACTGACACACGTTAAAGTGACGTCTTACTTTTCACTTTTGCTGTTTTTCGATTCTTTGTATAGTCATCTTTGGTGGAAAGTGATACAGAAATCCTTATCCAAAACGACGAAGAAGTAATTTACGGAGGTAAAAGCCTTTCGCTTGTTGTAATTGATTAATGCAAATTATTTAAGGAAAAATAGGTTTAAACTTTGTCGGATAAAGGAACATAAAACCAAAGGATTTTTGGAACACTGAAAACCAAAGACTTGGGACTTGGAAATAAAGATGCTAAATAATTTTAATGTATCTACACAAAGCGGAAGGGCCGGTCCTCGTGAGAGAATAACGTAAATGACTGGGATAATCGCAGATATCGATTGTTGTTCAGTGCTAGCACGATATCAGTTGCAATGTTTTTTTTAGCAGATTTATTTCATTAGATTCACCAATTCTTGGCAGGGCCACCACAATAGCATGATGCTAATTACTGAGGATCCGCAAAAGTCGCTCACCCCATGAGAGATAGGCCACCACGTCAGGGACTACACCCCCTTCTCTTTAGATACATAGATAGATGGATCTATAAATAGATAATGTAAGTAATTTAAGCTCTTCAACGTCCCAAAGAACCTATACATGCAAAGGTTGTGAGACGGGGCCTACACTTTATCGCCCTTATCAGAGAAAACTAGAGAGTCATCACGAAGGCAGCACTTTTCCCTCAGTTATTTTAAGACCCTGAGTTTTAATCCCGCCGGAGTTTGAACCAGCGGCCTCCTGTTCGGCAGAACAGCGCTTAATATCCAACTGACTGAGCTAACCGGGGAACGGTTAAATGGCACCACAAAACTCTTAATAAATGGCGCGACAAAATATAGTGACCAACACATAGATCCTAAAGTGTGTTTTTTTTATATTGTAGCAACTAGTTCGGCTACTAGTGGGAGATCAGCTGGTGTCGAGACAGAAACCGTGTTACTGGAGACAAAAGTACGTTATGGAGAGATTTCTTACAACGATGAGGACGTCTTGCAACGAAAAGATGGGTGGCTACCTTCAGAGAGACAGGCGTCAACCGTGATGGAAGATCTGAAGCCCTATGCTGTCCGCACAGTGAAGTTCTTCCGTACTGGTGGCGATCCCGCAGTTAAGTTTTCTTATGACAAGTGCACACTCCCTAGACCTTTTTTTGAGGCAATCAGACGCTACAGCGACATGTCGAGAAGCCGGAAATGCCTGTTCATGTGTCACTGCTGCCTCATTCTTTGCTGGGGCATGTTCGAAGAATGCATGATCATCTGTTTTTTATATCTGGCTCGCTGCCTTGGGTTCTTATGGGGTTGGTGCAGTGATAGGTTCATGGACCGTTAACTTAATTTATTATTAGGTATTTTGGATGAGCTTAATAAAAGCCAAATCTAATAATGCTTTCCATATTTACTCAAAATATTTCACACTTATGCCTTCCTCATTGACATGAACTTACCGTATTTACATATATGTATTATTATAAGTCTTGCAGATATTCTTCAAATAGCAGTTGTCAATGGGTCGAGTTA